ATACATTCTTTCAGGAATATTTGGGAGATAGTAAGAGGAAGAAAGAATAGAGATGGTTTGCTCATTTTTTTCATTTTTTAATTTACAAAATCATAAGTGGCTGCTTGTGGATTTTGGAGCATATTTCTCTAAGCCTATAAAAATTAGAAAGTAAAACTTAAAGCCACAAATGTCAGTTTAAATGTTCTATCCACAACAGAATACTATTTGGCCTCCTAAAGAATTACAATATACCAGGCACAGGTGGCTCACGCCTGTAATCCTAGCTACTCAGGAGGCTGAGATCTGAGGATTGTGGTTCAAAGTCAGCCTGAGCAGGAAAGTCCATGACACTCTTAATTAACCACCAGAAAACCTGGAAGTGGCGCTGTGGCTCAAGTGATAGAGTGCTCACCTTCAGTTAAAGAGCTGAGGGACAGTGCCCAGGCCCAGAGTTCAAGCCCCACAACTGACCAAAAAAAAAAAAAAAGAATTACAACACAATTCACTGCATCATAATTTTTTGGTTTTCTCAACCCCTATTCTTTGCTTCATAGCATATTTTAAAGACAAGAATGTACCACTTGACTTCATCAGCCTATGGGACTTCAATAGTCTTTTCATTTCTTTTTTGGAGGAACTAGGGTGGAAAACTCAAGGTATTGCTCTTGTTAGGCAAGTGCTTTATCACTTGAGCCACTCCACCCCTTAAAAAATTTTTTGGTGAGAAGCTGACTGGAAGAAGTGGCTGGATTATAATAAACTAAGCCATATTGTTAGCATGGTTTAATCACCACAAGATAATAGATTCAGGGAAGGGGATATGGCTCAAGTGATAGAGTACCTGCCTACCAAGTAAGGTCCTGAGTTCAATACCCCAATACCACCAAACGAAATAGAAAAAAGGCAGTAGACTTGAACAATACTACTGTAAGTCTTGGAAATGTATTTATTTTATCTACCAATGTTATGGAGAAAGATGATGATGATGATGATGATGATTACTATTGAACTGGAGGCTGTACTCAGGGCTTCATGTTAGTTAGGGAAGCACTCTACCACTTTAGCCTCACCACTAATCTAGAAAGTTTTTATTTTATATCCTTAAGGAGATTGTATATCTTAATGCAGGACTACACTATTGCTAGTCCATCTTAACCAAAACAGTCATAAGAATAAAAGCCATTCACTTCAGAACTTTCAGATAAGTGTATAAGTGTATATACTTTCCCCTAAGTGTATATGCATTCAGTATATGCATAAGTGTATATGAACACTGGTGTTTAAAAAGTACTTTATTTCTTTGCCCCAGCTAGACAAGAGGAACTGGGTTAATTTAGAAACCCTCAGTTTCCTTTTTCTTTCTCTAAGCCTGTAGCTGTTGCTGACCACTGATGCTTTTTTTTTTTTTTTTTTTTGCCTTTGTAGGAAGTTGCAAAAATGAGAGAAGAAAACAAAACCAAGTAGCATTCATTTTGGCTTTTCTCTGATTTAGATAAAGCTCTAGTCCTTACTCTTTCTCCCAGTAACTAACATTCAACAAAGAAAAGGAAGAAATAATGCCCAAGGACAGAGGGCAGATTATGGTCACAGGGCTGAGTTAATAGGAATCTAGACAACTTGAGAGCTTACTGCTCTGAGTGGTTCTCACTACAAGGCAAGTGATGGTTAATACAGGTCTCTCCCAGGCCCAGTACACTCAGAAGTCTAGTTTAAACTTTAGAGCTTCAGACCTTCCTCTGTGATGGAAATTATAGTGTCTACAACTTTATGGGCAAAGAATTGCTTTACTGGTAACTACTTTACAAACTGATAATGAGAATCCACGTTTGCAATCTGTTTTTTTTTTAGCTCATTTAAAAACACATCACTTTAGCCAGGTGCAGGTAGGTCACGCCTGTAATCCTAGCTACTCAGGAGGCTGAGATCTGAGGATCATGGTTCAAAGCCAGTCCCAGCAGGAAAGTCTTTAAGACTCTGATTTCTAATAAACCACCAGAAAACTGGAAGTGACGCTGTGGCTCACATAGTAGAGCGCTAGCCTTGAGTTGAAGAGCTGAGGGACAGTGGCCAGGCCCAGAGTTCAAGCCCCATGACCAACAAAAAAAAAAAAAAAGAAAAAAAAGGAAGTAAACATCACATTAACTTACATCAGGAGATGGCAAACTGTAGAAACTATGGTCTGCTATGTTTTTTTTTTTTCAGGAAGCTAAGAATCGTTTTTACATTTCCAATAGACAAAAAAATTGACTATCTCTGTGTGTGTGTGTGTGTGTGTGTGTGTGTGTGTGTGTGTGCGTGTGCGCGCGCGCGCACACGCACTGGTCCAGGGTCTGGGGGTTGTCCCTGAGCTTTTGTGCTCAAGGCTAGCACTCTAATACTTGAGTCACAGAACCACTTCAGATATTTTTGGTGCTTAATTGGAGATAAGAATCTCACAGACTGTTCTGCTTGAGTGCTCAACTGGCTTCAAACTGAGATCCATAGTTCTCAGCCTCGAGTTGTTAGAATTACAGGTATGAGCCATCAGCACCTGGCTGACAAATCATTTCCTGATATGTAAAGATAGGTGAAATTTAAAATTCAAGCTTGTATTTTACATTTATTAGTTTGTAGTTCTTAGATTGAATCCAGGACCTTGCATATGTTAGGTGAGTGCTCTAACACTGAGCTATACCACAAACCTCTCAAATTAAAAACTTTGTAGAAACTTCCTGTTATTATTGACTGATACAGTGGCCTCAAATCTGCTTTTTGGCCTGTAAAACTTTAAACACTTGCTATCTGACTTTATCTTTTTTTTTTTTTTAGATTTCTCCAGCAATTCAATACAAAGCACAGGCATCTTAATAGTTGAATACACAAATGAGCCTTTAACTTAAAAAAGTTTTATTGAGATAAAATTCATACCAATTGAATGTGTACAATCTGATGATTTTTAGTATATTCACTAAATTTAATGTAGTCAGTTTTAGAATATTCTCATTACTGTCCCCACTGAACCATCATGGTACACATTAGCAGTCACTCCTGAACCCCCAACCACTGACAGCCATTAGCCAGTTTTTTTGTCTACAGATTTTCTTATTCTAGACATTTTATATAAATAGAATCATATAGTACATGGTCTTTGTGAATGCTTTCTTCATTCAGCATTATGTAAGACATTTTAGTTTAGCACTTTGGGCTGAGCCATGTAATGGAATCGACAAGAATTTACTTGAAAATGACGTGAAGGAGGTTGTCGGGTCTGTAAATTGCTTCTGCTCAGTCAGCGACAGTATAGAAGGGTCACTTGTGAACAATCAGTGTGAGTGGGTGCAATGCACTCCACAAGATCCACTATTCCATGGAATTTCTGAGGACTTTGGGCTGCTTATTTTAGGGTTTCCATCCAGTTTTTCTCCTATAGTAAAGAGACCTTGATCCTCAGGCACCATGTATTGACCTTAGTTTTCCTTAGGTAGATTATGATTATGTTGTCACAGCTGGTAGAGCTTCCCCCTCCTGACTTTTCAGGCCAAATGCATATGTGACTATAACAATAAATTTATTTGTAAATTTATATTTTGGGTCCTAACATAGATGTGTTATGCCAAGGAATAGTTACAAGATAGATATTCACACTGGTAGGACAGATGGAATGAATAGAATACTTCATGTGGAAATTTAGAGAAGGTAGGAAGATATCAACCACTATTCAATTGGCAGTTGTAAACAATACAGTATTTGCATTAGATAGGTTGCATGACCTATCTGGACCCAATAATTTAACCTCTCTGTGCTTTATGTGGAAAAGTAGAATAATAATACTTCTTAGAGCTATTCTAAGAATTAAATGTCACCAGTACAAAGAGGTACTCAACCTTGTTCATAATTGAGGAAATGCAAATGAAGACCATAATGTAGTATTACTTTATTGCTTAAAAAGTTAACAGCTGCTAATATTAACATTGAAATCAATAGGATATTATATACTGAGAGGAAATGTTTGAAATTGTACAGTTTGAAAAAAAATAATTGTGACTGTTCTTGAAAACTGTAAGATTTGCATTATATGAGCCCCAGCAATTCTACTCTCACAGAGACCTCAAAGGAGAACCTGATCACACATACACCAAGAAAAGTATTTATACCTGTTCAGTTTATAAAAGCAAGACCTGTTTGAAGCATAGTGATACATATGTAATCTCAGCATGAGGAAGGCTGAGACAGGAGGAACATCAGCTACAGAACAAGAGCTTTTCTCAATGGAGGGGGAAGAGGAAGAGGAGGAGAAGGGACATGAAGAGGAGGAGAAGAAGGAGAAAGAGAGGGAGAAGGAGGAGGAGAAGGAGAAGAAAGAGGTGTGATAGGGAAATACCAAGCCAATTCATGATTATAGTTAGTAACTTAGGGGAATCAATTTTATGTAGAAATACAGGAGAGGCACATAATGCTCTTGAGTTAGGGATGAGGTCAATGGGGCTCCTCATAAATATAAATGCGGGCTTCCTGTGCGTTAGTGATAAGCAGTATCACGATCCAGCATAGATGGTCAGTGAAATCGTATTACTTGATGTCCAAAGAAATAAGTTAGATCAAACTAATTCATGCACACTGTTAAAAATTTGCGTTTATAAAACACATTAAGAGGAAAAAATTATCCATAAGGTAGAAAATCTATAATCAGCATTCTATTATCATAATCTTACGTTCTTTATCCTATACATTAAAATAATTTAAGTCAGACTGTAAAAAATATCAAGGTGTTAAAGTCTATGTGTCGTGGCAACAGTTTAAATCAAGCCGCCCCAGGTTGTACAAGCTACTAAGGCTGCTAGAGCCTGTGACGACAGCCTTGGAGGGGCAAGACCCAGCGACCACGCCCCCAGGGGGCGTGTCTACTCACGTGGGGGGCGTGTTCATCTTCCTCCTAGGGGTGTGGCTAAGGGAGGGCGGATCCTCTGCTAAGAGCCCAGGTAACGGGGGCGGGACGGAGAGGGGGCTTCTCGTCGCGGCGTGATGACGCCGCACCGCGGCCTGGCGCGGCGCGCTGGACGTCCGGAGCTGGAGTTGTGTGATTTGGTCCTCCTCCCGCTCGGGCGGCGTGTGCGCCGTGTGGCTGAGGGCCGGGATGTTACCGGGTAACGTGACGGTGGGAGAGGAGGAAGAAGAGTATGCGGAGGACTGTCCTGAATTGGTCCCCATTGAGGCGAAGACAACAGAGGCGGAGGAGAAGCCTGGCCTTGGCGTTAAGATTCCGGTGACAATCATCACCGGGTATTTGGGTAATTCACCATCCCGGGCAGACACCGTCGTAGGCCCTGGGGTTTGGGGCGCGGGGCCGGGCGGGGTGGGGCTGGAGTCCCTCTGTGTTGGCACCTGGGCCCCCTGACCCAGAGCGCAAGTCTCTCGAGGTGGTGGCTGGGTCATTCCCTCCTCCATTTCTCACGTGAGATGAAGAGTTACCTCGAAATGTGGAGCCTAGATTCTCCCTCCCCGCCCCAATAATCGTGTGAATTCTAACAAGTCATTTTTACCCTTTTGAAGGTGATTTACTCAGAGATGGAAATAATTACCAGTCACCTGTCTGAGCTGCAGCTGTAACACGAGTCAGAAAACACCTGTAAAAAAGTCTATTGCCATTCAAGGACGTCCTAGCTGTACCGTGCCTGACGATTGTGGGGACATCTCTCACTAGACCCTGACATTTGGGGCTGGGGAGGGGGGGGGGGGAGTGGAACACATTCCTCCGTAGAGTTCACTTTCCCAGGGCCTAAACTCTTCAAGGTTTTTCTGAGCAATATATACTCCTATCTCAAACTTTCTTTCTTGCAAAGCGTTGGGGGGTGGAGGGGGGGAGTGGGGGGAGGATGAGAATGTTTGTCCTCCGAGCCTTTCTGAAACTGAGGAGGTTTAGGAATGTTCAGAGATTTGAAACTTAGGTTTGTGAACGTTGTACAAGTGCCTAAAGGATTGCTGATGCGTTTAGTTTTCCTTGGGAACGTTTGAGAAATACTTCTAAAAATTACAGTTAAAGGAGGCCAGATATGCACATGATTATATTGAAATATGGAAAAAAGTTAAAAGAAAAGAATGGTATTCCTAGATACTGCTAGAGACAAACAGGGATTGGGATTCCTGAAGGCCTTTTATATGAAAATAAGAAATTACTGATATTCTTTTTTTTTTTTTTTTTTTTGGTCGTGGGGCTTAACCTTTGGGCCTGGAGACTGTCCCTGAGCTCTTCAGCTTAAGGCTAACGCTCTACCACTTGAGCCACAGTGCCACTTCCTCAGAGGTTATTCAGTACTGAGAAAGTGAGCAAATTTGAGCAGAAAAGTATACTGCAGACCTGTGCCTTTGGCCTTCCCCCGTTACTCCCTGTTGGTCAGTAGACTCTTGGAAATAAAGGTCTGAAGCTCTGTATTGAGGGCTACAGGACTACAAAGCTAATTGGCAGATAAATAAGGCCAGCAACCTCCTATGGATAGTTCTGCTTCTTAAGCATTTTATCCCTTTGAAACATTGGAAACACCGTTCCATGGGCTTCTATTAAATATTTCTTCTGATTTTTTTTTTACCTCCTCTAGCTTCTCCTTCTGCCCATCCAATCTTTAGCTTCACAGCCCTATAGCTTCTATTTTGATGTCCTTCAGACACGTCAATACACTCAACACTTTATACATTACTGTCTTCTCAAATCCTTCTACTTCTGTGATCCCAATGTCCTGAAATACTCAGTATTTCCTCCTACTATAATCTTGAATCATTTAGCCACTCTGTATGTTAGCACCAATCAGTTTTATAAATGTTAGTCTGTGTCTCATCCTCTAGTGGCTTCCACTTGGACAAAAATGGAAATTTTTTTTATTGTTGTAAAGGTGATGTACAGAGGTGTCACAGTTAAGTACGTCAGGAAATGAGTGCATTTCTTTATGAACAGTGTTACCTCTTCCCTTGCTTTCTCTCAGTTTTTCCCTCTTGTCCCTGTCCCCTACCCCCCCAGTGAAATATCTTAACTTGAATTGTATGGAGCAGGAGCATTTAGCATGGCTTTTTGTCAACTTCTCATGCCTGCCAAATCATATCTGAGCACATTGAACTAATGTTAAAATTAAGCAAATTTTGATCATGTTGTGAATTTCTGGAATCTCATTTACTTGGGAGGTAATAGAACCAGGAGGATCTTGAGTTCAGTCCATCTTGGGTAAAGTTAGTGAGACCCTATCTCAAAATCAAAAGCTGGGCACTGGTGGTTCGTGTCTGTAATCCTAGCTACTCAGGATGCTGACATCTGAGGATCTCCTTTCATATCCAGTCTGGCAGGAAAGTATGTGAAACTTTCTATCTCCAGTCAACTACCAAAAACCAGAAGAGGTGCTATGGCTTAAAGTGGTAGAGTTCTAGCCTTGAGTAAAAAAGCTCAGGGACAGCGCCTCATCCCTGAGTTCAAGCTCCACAACCAACCAACCAACCAACCAACCAGCTGGCTAGATGTCCCTCTTAGGTTTACTGTAGCACTTTGTATATCTCTGGTTGTCCTATGACATAATCTCTTTCTTATTTATCTAAATTCTCCACTACCTGCTACTCTTAAATATTTGTAAGCTCCATAGAAGCAGAAGCTTGTCTTTCCCTTGTTCACTTTTCATCAAGACACAGCATAAATCTGATCTATAGTATGTACTTTTGAATGAATGTGAACTGTTTCTTAATCTTTTTTTTAATCCTAATGTGGGTGATGATTAAGTTCTAGTACTTCTACTAGTTTTCTTACATTCTTGACTTTCTTTCAGCTTTTAAACTGCCTCTTCTCTGCGTATCAGTCATGTTCAAGGCCTCTCACACTGCGGCTGATTTTAAGAACTTCATTCTTTTGACTTAAGTCAGTCCCATTTTACTCATGTTTGTAGCTTGAAGCTTCCCAAAGCACTCTAAAAGATGTCAACTCTTCAAACTTTGAAAGGAAAATTACCTAAAATGTTGAAGGTATTAATACCTTGATACCCCATAGATCTCTTCTGTTATACCCTAGAAATCTCACAAATGCATTTCAGCAGGCAAGTACAAGCTATGTGTAAAATTTAGTAGCACTATCTGTAATAGTAAAACACTGGTAACAGCCCAAATAACCACCACTAGAAGAATAGATAATGATATGTCCATATCATTGAGCTATACTATTATGCACTTGAGATTTTCTTTTCTCCCTTTTGACCTTCGCTGTTTGCCTCAAAGATAAATATTTTTCTTCTACTTGCAATGAACATACTAGGTTTAACATGCCACCTACTGGATAAAGTTAGAGTAGCTTTATGGATCTATCTTTCTCAATAATGAATTTGTTGATGCTTCCTTCCTCTGTCCCACATTTTATGCAATCCATTTTAGTTTGCTTTAAAACAATCTGTGACTACATTTCGTTGACATATACTTATCTGAATTTGTATCTAGTTAATGGATGTTGACATCAGAGATTTGTTATGTAAAATTTAGGGAAATAAACCAAATCTTTTTAGTTTAGAAACAGTATCATCACGTATAGGGACTTCCTTTTTTTTTTCTTTTTTTCTTTTGCCAATTCAAGGGCTTGAACTCAGAGCCTGGGCACTGTCCCTGAGCTATTTTTGCTCAAGGCTAGCATTCTACTACTTGAGCCATAGCTCTACTTGCCAGTTTTTGCTGCTTACTTATAGATAAGAGTCTCAAGGACATTTCTGCCCAGGTTGGCTTCAAACTATGATACTCAGATCTCAGGTTCCTAAGTTGCTATGATTACAGGTGTGAGCCACCAACACCTGGCTGTATTTTGTTTGTGTGTGTGTGAGCATGAGCGAGCTGGTCTAGGGCCTTGAACTCTGCCTGAGCACTGACTCAAAGCTTTTGTGCTCAAGGCTAGTGCGCTACCACTTTTGCCACAGCTCTACCTCTAGCTTTTTGAGGCTTAATTGGAGGTAAGAGTCTCACGGACTTTTCTGCCCAGTCTGGCTTTGAACCATGAACCTCAGATCTCAGCCTCCCAAGTATCTAGGTTTACAGGCATGATCCACGAAATACCCAGCTCCTATTTTTCATTTTATAAATTATGTACTTTATTCCTTGGAAACTGTTACTTCATGAATTCTTTTTGGTTGGTTGTGGGGCTGGGACTCTGGGCTTGGGCGTTGTCCCTGAGCTCTTCAGCTCAAGGCTAGTACTCTACCACTTGAGCCCCAGCACCACTTCCGGTTTTCTGGTGGTTTATTGGAGATAAGAGTCTCATGGACTTTGCTGCCTGGGCTGGCTTTTGAACTGCAATCCTCAGATCTCAGCCTCCTGAGTAGCTACGATTACAGGTGTAAGCCACTGGCACCCGGCTAGAAATTTTGCATGCTCTTGTGTTGTTGAAAGTTATTAAGACATATTAAATTGAAGCACTGATCCAATTTAAAAGATTTTTTTTTTTTGAGTCCGGTTGTGGGGCCTGAACTCTGGGCCTGGGCACTGTCCCTCAGCTCTTCAGCTCAAGGCTAGCACTCTACCGCTTGAGCCACAGCGCCACTTCTGGCTTTTTTCTTTTTGCTTAGGTGGTGCTCAGGAATCGAACCCAGGGCCTCATGCATGCAATGTAAGCGCTCTACCACTGAGCTGCCTTCCCAGCCCCTAAAAGATTATTTTTAAATATAAAATATATAAAGTATATATAAAGCATAGTTATCAAAGATTGACTTAGTAATTAAAGTATAGTAATAGCAATCAAAGATTGCTTTAATATTTTTCTGTAAATACTCTTTCATTAAGTAAACATGAAAATACCACATTCCTAAAAATGGCAAGATCTTGTTGAGCCTTTAAATTTAGCCTTTGAATCTTGGTATTCTAATATATTTTATAGGTGCTGGCAAGACAACACTTCTGAACTACATTTTGACAGAGCAGCATTGTAAGAGAATAGCGGTTATTTTAAATGAATTTGGAGAAGGTAAGTAAAGTTCAGTGAATATGTTGTAAGAACTAACAGCACAGTTTGTTCCTTTACTGCACTGATGTTCTGCATTTAAAAAGAGGATAGAAGGTACTATAATGTAGTACAATTATGTAAATTGTGTTAAGAAATAAGATTGATTTTTATCATCCTTTATTTTGTATGACTTTGGGACACTGAAACCAAATAATTTCTATAAAAATGCATTTTGCATAACTTTAGGGACTCTTACTAGCGGAATTAAATTAGATCTGTATGTGAAATAAATGACTGAAAGTAAAAATCTAAATGTATGAAGGAAAATGTTTTAAGGAATTGAAAGGATGGTTTTGTACTGACTATTGTATATTGTAATTCATGGAACATTGAACATGCTTCAGATACCATGAGTTTACCTATTGTAGATTGTTTGTTTGTACAGTAGCTAAAACTAAAGTTTTTAAAAAAAATAAACATGGTGGGTCCTGGTTGGCTCATGCTTGTAATCCTAGCCACTTAGGACGCTGATATCTGAGGAACACAGTTGAAAGCCAGGCTAAGTCTGAGACTCTTACTTCCAATTAATTACCAAAAAAACAAACAAACAGAATAGGAGCTGTGGCTCAAGTGGTAAAGCACTAACCTTGAGCAAAAAAAATGCTCAGGGACAGTGCCCAGGCCTTGAGTTCAAGTCCTAGGACACACACACACACCACACACAACACACACACACACACACACACACACACACACACACACACACACACACACACACACACACACACACACACACACACACATACACGCTCAGGGACAGTGCCCAGGCCTTGAGTTCAAGTCCTAGGACACACACACACACCACACACAACACACACACACACACACACACACACACACACACACACGCTCAGGGACAGTGCCCAGGCCTTGAGTTCAAGTCCTAGGGGACACACACACACACACACACACACACACACACACACACACACGCTCAGGGACAGTGCCCAGGCCTTGAGTTCAAGTCCTAGGGGACACACACACACACACACACACACACACACACACACACACACACACACACATTAAACATATGGTCTCTTATGGACTCTAAGCATCATATCTATTTAACTTTTCACCCTTTTTGTCTTAAATACTGAACTGGTAAAAATGTAGAGTTGTGTTAAATGTAATATTTTGGTTAACTTTTATAGTTTTCATTTGGTAAAATTTCACTTTTAACAATATATAATTTCTGTTGTTATAGTATTTAAATTGTACATATTTTTCAGATATAAGTATGTGAAAGAGTTAGGCTTTATGAGTAGCACTGGATACCTGTTAATAAAACTTGATTTCTGGTTTCACTATCTCATGTTTTGGGGTCTCTGTATGGCTCAAGTTGTGCCTCAGTCTCCTGGTTATAGATAGCTAGGAAAGTCCTTTTAGACAAAATAAAAATCTTTTTGCGGTGCTAGGGATTTCCTAGGACCTTTTTCATGCATGCTAAGGAAGCCTTCTTCTCCCTCTAACTTCTTCAAATCCTAGGATTACTAATCACAATGTTTTCCTAGCTTCTTATGAACTGATTTCTACGGGAGACTGGTTACATTTACTTGTCATTATTTTATTTCTTAACGTTTTTCTCTAGTTTGGGGATCATTTTCACAGTTTTATCCTTCACAGCATTCTTAATACTTTCTTTCATGTTTTACTAATGTCTTATATATCCTAAGTTGTATAACAACCCTTTAAAAGCTCTTTATCATCACCTAACTGAAATATGAGTAACGTATATACAATTAAAAATTTTTTTTTCTATTTAATACCTTTCTCTAGGTTTGGTATATTACAAGAAAAATAAAACATTTTAAGTCATTTTTAGAACAAATGTATGTATCTAATTCTTTCCCAAATAAGCATTATTAAGGAATATTTCTATATTTGACTAAAAGTAACTTGGGAATGAGCATAGATATTCTGTTCAAAGGCCTTTAGAATGTATTAGGCTTTTGGTCGGGGGTGGGGGGGGTGTAGTCGTGGAGATGGGAGGGCAGGAATGGTAAGGAAAAAACAAAGGAGGAGGCAATAATGCTTGATAAAGAAATGTACTCATTACCTTGCTCATGATACTGTAACCCCTCTGCACAGTATTTTCACAATAAAAAACTTATTAATTAAAATAAAGAATAAAATATAAAAAGAATGTATTAGGCTTTTTACTCATACTGGAGATATACTGAGCAATCGATATAGTAGAAACAATTAGAGGAAAAATATAAAAAGAAAAATAGATGCACTTGTAAGAGGTGAAAAGACAAACAAGCACCAGTCTAAAAAATAGTTGAATCTTTCTAGAATTTTTACTTTGGACAAGAAAAAAAAATGCTTTCAGGCTAGTTCCTTTATGAAGAAATGTAAGAAGGCAAGTAAGAGACCTAAGTAGGAAATAGGTATGTTCAGTACTTGTTTAGGGACTTAAAAGCTAAAACAATCCGGAAGACTGTATTTAAATATTTAGGCCACTTGACCAGCTTAAAAGAATACACATTTTAATTGCAATTGTTGATATCTGTTCATTTTGAATACCCTGAGCTTTGCTAGTCTAAAAAGTGTTTGTTCCTTTTTCTAGGAAGTGCGGTAGAGAAATCCTTGGCTGTCAGCCAAGGTGGCGAGCTCTATGAAGAGTGGCTGGAACTTGGAAATGGTTGTCTCTGCTGCTCAGTAAAGTAAGGAATATGTGCCTGCGGGTTTACTGTTATGTGTTCAGTTTTGATTTTCTTGTGTAGTTTACCTCAGTTTACACACTTTGCTTAATTATATTTCCAAGTAGCAAACAGATGTTCTCAAACTCATTCTCTTAAACTGTTTCTTGCTACTAATTTTTCTATCTGCTCTAATGCCTTTTTCCTCCTAGTGAGGTGTTTTTTTTTTTTTTTTTTTAACCTGTCAGAGGCTTGAACTCAGGGTCCAGATGCTATCCCTGAGCTAGTACTTTACCACTTGAGCCACAGCTCCACTTTTGGCTTTTTTGGCAGTTTATTGACGGTAAGAGTTTCACAGACTTTACTGCCAGGCTGACTTTGAACCATGATCCTTAGATCTCATTCTCCTAAGAAGGTAGGATTACAGAGTGAGCTACCAGTATCTGGTGTGGACTTTTTTCCTAGTGTTTTTGATTTCAGGATTTATTTAATTTGTAATGTCTTTTCTATGAAAGTCCCACTTCTTATGTAAAAAATTATTATTTTTAACATGTCAGTTTTATTTTCAAATATGGAGCCTCTAAAAACAAAACTAAATGACTATCAAAAAGGAAAAAGAAGCTTGTGCCAGTGGCTCATGCCTGTTAGCTACTCAGGAAGCTGAAATCTGAGGGTCGCAATTTGAAGCCAGCCGGGACAGAAAAGTCTATGGGTTTTTATTTCCAATCTCTTCTGCTGTGGCTCGAGTGGTAGAGCACTAACCTTGAGCACAAAGAGGCTCAGGGACAGCACCCAGGCCCTGAGTTCAAGCTCTAAGATTGGCAAAAAGAAAAAGGAGAAGAATTTTACATTCTACCAGTTAAGTGTCCAAGGACAGTATCTGTTTTGTTCATTAAGATGTTTAGAATCCTAGTAGCATTCAAATATTTCTTAGATAAATTAGGAATTCATGTACTTATGATTTTGTGTACTCTAGTGAATCAGGTTTCTTCGCTTGCTACTTGAAGTGTTTCATGCTATTAGGAAGAATGAAGTAATCATAACACACTTTCTTAACAAACCAAATTTTAATACATTCAGTATTTTCCTTCATTTTTGGTATAAGAGGAAAAGGAAATTTGACCTAGTACTTTAATTTACAATAGAATTAACTGATACATAATGATAGTATTACTTTAGCTGTTACTTTAAACTACTGTAGGTCATAAATTTTATCATTATCTTAGATATTGACATTTTTCTTTCATAAACCTATAAAAATAATAAAATTACTTTGGTCAAATAATGCCCTCTCTACTTTTAAGTATAATAAAAATACCAACTCGTCATGCACATTTCCTTGTGTATGTGTGTTTGTGCTGTGATTTGATCTCATGGCCTTTTGCTTTTACTCCATTTGCTTGCTTATGGATGGCACTGTACCATTTAAACCACACCTCTAGTCCAGCTTTTTCTTTGTCAATTAGAGATAGAATCTCAAGTATGAAGCCTGGGCTGGCTTCATACTATTATCCTCCAGGTCTCATCCTCTTAAGTACCAAAGATTACAGGTGTGAACCATGAGTGCCAGGATATATACTTCTTTTTATCTGATAGTACATGAACCTGTTTTCTTCTCTTCATTCATAAGTTGTGGATAGACTCTTTTTTTTTTAAATTTTGAGACAAGGTCTCACCATATCACACCATGTAGACCAGGCTGGCCTCAAACCTGTGAGCCTATGCCCCACCTCTGAAGTGATGGAATTATAGACATGCCACCTCCATGCCCCACTTGCATGGATATTCTCTGAGAAGATTAGGAAGGAGTTTAATTTTCATGTATCTTAAGGACATTTTGATGTGCTATTGAATGTATTTTAACATTTTTACAATATTTTAAATCATTCTGGTAACCAACTGTGTCTTGTAATTTTCCAGGGACAGTGGCCTTAGAGCTATTGAGAATTTGATGCAGAAGAAGGGAAAATTTGATTACATACTGTTAGAGACCACTGGGCTAGCAGATCCTGGTAAGAAATGACATTAATCAGAATATCATTCTTTGGTATTTTTAGTGTTTGTATTAAAGACTTTTTCTTTTTTTGTGTATGCCAGTTCTGGAGTTTGAATTCAGGGCCAAGGCACTGTCCCTGAGCTTTTCTGCTCAAGGCTGGCACTATACTACTTGAGCCATATCTCCACTTCTGTCTTTGTGTGTATGTATGTGTGTGTGTGTGTGTGCTACTCAGTCTCCGGAGTAGCTAGGATTACAGGCATAGGCCACCAGCACCTGGCTGTATTAGAAAAATATTTTAAATGAATATTAAAGCTTTACTTTGTACTTAAGTTTTAATTCAAAAGAGGAAAAATTCTGAATTGCATCACAGATGATCAAACTATTTCTTGGTATTTTAAACAGTTTATAAAATTTGAAGTTGATTGAAGTTTCTTGGTAGGAAAAAATGTTGTTAAAAATGGGAAATTTTTATGTAACTGTAACCCTTCTGTATATCACCTTTACAATAAAATTTTTAAAAAATTAAAAATGTAAAAAAGGGAAATTTAGGGGAAAACTGGAGCTATCCTGCTTTTGTGTACATATTTACTTGTTATAATTTTTTTTCTTTTTAAAAAATTTTGCAGAGGATTGAACCCAGGACTTTGTTCTGGCTAAGAACAAGCTATACTCCAGGCCCTCTGTTAGTTTTCCTAAAGGGTTAAAATAGAGATATATAAAGGTTTTTGGACTCCTATCCTAGCAGCACTGATTTCCCATAAATTAAGTCTTAGCATTGTATTTTTCTATTAATAAAATTGTAATAATTTTATTTGTAAATACTTTTATAAGACATCAAAGACATAAGTTAAATCAAGTGCACTGAGTCTTTTTCAAGTGTAGAATTAATGCTTAGTCATAAAGCTTTTTACCAGTGAATAGAGAAATATATACCTTTCTATGGAAATCTACATCAAATTGACTTGTTTCTAGCAAGTTTACCTTCTTACTAAACTCTAATAAGGTCTCCTTATTTTCATGAAGGACTTTTAGGTAAAATATTTATTCTGAGAATACATAGTGCTTGTTGTGTGAGTCTGGCCCATACCATAGTCTTTGAGAGTGAGGTAGAATAAGGATCACAGTGGCCTAAAAGAAACATTGAAGTATACAAAGGATTCAAATATAATCAGTGGTTATTGTACATAAATGTGTCTTAGAATAACATTTCTATGTTTTCAAAGTTGGAGCTAGTTAGGTCCTTTACAGTAGACATGAGTTTTTCATATACATACATATACACACACATATATATATGTATATATATGTGTGTGTGTGTACACACACACACATTTGTGCCAGTACTGGGACTTGAACTCAGGAGCTCCCGCTCCTATTTAGCTTTCTTTTTCACAGTTAATGCTCTACTATTTCATTTATGCCTCCAGTAAGACATTTTATTGGCTAAAGGAGATGGCATCTTACAAGCTTTTCTGCCTAGGCTGAAAAGTGGGAGCTCTGCTTAGGAGCTCTGTTCTCTTCATATCGAGTTTACTTTGTGCTCTCTCACCAGTTCTAATTGTTATTTTGGTCCAGCTGTTGCATCTGCATTTACTGAGATTGTCTCAAGTCTTCTTTTTGCCAGTAGCTTTGCCTCTCTGAGTGTCTATTCATTGTTCACTGCTGCAAATGAATGCATTGGTGAAGCAGTAGTGTTATATTGACTCCCCATTTGTTTCAGCAGTATATAAGCTCTCCTTATAGTTTTTTAGGTTCTTTTTATAAAGAAGTCCTTTGGAATGTTTTCTTGTTGTTTTCTCTTAGGTTGTGTTTCCTTCCAGAATCAGTTCTTTGTTATTTATGTGCCCTATTCATTTTTTCAGTTTTTTTTCCTTGCCTTTTTATCGTTTATCTCTTCTTTTGTTTTTTTCTCTTATAATGCATGTATTTGTGCTTGATATAGCAGGCTCAGAGAAATTTTATTTACTTGTGGTATCGATAAAGAATTCTTTTTAATACTCTACCTATCTTAAAGTTTTATTTTTGTGCCAATCCTGGGGCTTAAACTCAGGGCGTGGGCACTGTCCCCGAGCTTTTTGGCTCAAGGCTAGAATTCTACCATTCAAGTGACACCTCTTCTTCTGACTTTTGGTGGCTAATTGGAGATAAGAGGCTCACACACTTTCTTATCTGGGATGGCTTGGAACCAGGATCCTTAGATCTAGCCTTTGAGTAGCTAGGATTACAGACATGAGCCACTGGCACCTGGCTTACTTAAACTTCTTTTGTGAGTGTGTGGAGGGAGTGGTGTTGTGAGTCAGACCCTTGTCTTCAAGTGTGTTGGGCAAAGCACTCTACAGCTCAGCTATATCCCAGATCCCCAAATGTGTTTCCTTGAGCCCTCACTTGAAAGCTGGATATTGAGAAAAGAGAAGCAAAGAAATATTAGGGAACCCAGAAACCCAGATTGGGCAGGCAATGTGTCTATTAGGTCCTGCTCTCTTAAAAATATCCAGTAGGATCACCTTGTGATTGGTATGATACTTTGTGTGGGAACATCATCAAACTTCAGACTTCTGGCTCTCTTTTGCTCTCAACCCTAGACTAAATGTCTTCCCTCAAGCATAGAGATGGTTAGAAACTTTTGAATTTTGTTGAGATTTCCCTTTATTACTTATTTTTTCCTTATATCTACTACTAGTCATTTTGGGAGGCATTTCTGATAAGTTGTAAGATTTTGAATTTTCAAAGCCCTCCTATTAGTAGGTGGCTTAGGAATGACCGTAACACACATAGAATTGTTTCTTATTTTGACGATGTCATTCTTCAAAATTTACAATAGGAGTTTCTGTGTGTGTGGTATTGTTTTTTGTTTGTTTTTGGTACTGGTACTAGGGTTTGAACTCAGGAAGGACCTCGTGCTGAAATTAGACTTTTTACCCAGGCTGACCTCAAACAATGATCTTCCCAATATCAGAAGCTAAGATTTCAGGTTTGATCCATTGCTCTTATTGTTTTATTAAGTTTTGAAGAAGGGAAATTCTGTAATCTGGTTCAGAGGTAATGCTTTGTCACAAATGACATCTGTCATTTAAATTATGTGTCGGGAGTGGAGCTGTCTTGGGCTTTATAAGATGTTTAGAAGCATCCCTAGTTTCTCCCCACTGCATGTAGGTAGTACCCAAAACAGTGTTCCCGAAGGAGAAAAATCACTCTTGTTTCCTTTCCCTGAATACCCCTTCCTAACACCTCTATACAGATTTTACATAGTTCCTTAAAAGCTTTAATATACTCTGACAGTTCAGCTTTAATGCTAGGCAAATGTTAGTGGTAATAGTTAAGCCTATTTATCTGAATAGAAATCAACAATTTTTTAAACTTACAGAACTTTTTATATATAATGTTAAGTGTCTCACCAAGTAAAAAAAAAATTGTGACTTATTTTTGGAGTAATGATGCAATAGATTTACTTTTTTTGTTGTTGTTCCCCTATTAATTAAAATCATGTCTTTAGCTAAGAAAGTGAAGGAAATTCATATTGGCAAATCGGTTGTTTCCTGTTTAGGAGATAGAGACTCCCCAGTTCTAAGCTAAATAGTTGTCATGGTACAGTAATTTCCTTGAGAAGGACAGGCATTGATTCAGCCTCAGTTACTCACAAATCCTATTTCAGTCAAATTGGAAAACTATTAAGTTTTGGGGGAAAAAAATCAATAGGTATCAGGAAACCATTAGATCTTGTGGCCCTTGCTATATCTTGCATGAGTAATCACTGTAAGCAGCTGACAGGCATTTCAGTGTTGACACAGAGTGATGCTTGGGGGACCACATCTTGTCAGGGTATGTGAGCAGCTTCACACAGTGGAATGAGTTTACTTCTCCTTATTTCCCCGATGCTCATTCTTTTAGACAGCACTGTCACTAACTGGGCCTGAGATGCTTTGGAAAAAATCACATACTTTCCTTGCTGTCAGTTTTCTTTTTCTTGTGCGGTGGCACACTAATCAGGCTGTGTGGTTTGATCTTCAAGCCGATTCTGTCAAAAACAAGCTTTAATTTATTACTTACAAATAAGTTTTTCCTCAGACCCAAATTTTATGCACAGTACTAAGCAAATGGTGAGAAAATCAATCACTAACTCCAGAGAATTTATATAATTTTACTCCTGTTCTTCTTCTATGAAAATCACATGAAATTCCTTTTTTGGACAAAATGACTTTGGAGTTGTCTATGTTTTGTTCATTTTTCCTTTGAAGCAAGAATTTATTTGTGAACCATATGAATATTCAGGAGATGAGAAATTAAAAATAAATCCCATGCCCAAATTGCTTGCTAACATCAGTTGGTAAATAAGACGACATCAACACAAGCTTGCTGTATGTGGCAAGAGTTTGTCTTCTCTGTTTATGTTTTTGAGGAAACAGAGGGATAGAAATAACTGTAAATAGTAAAAGGTTCCTTCTAGTAGAATGACTGAAAGTCCAAGGTTAGCCAGTGTGTATGTTTGCCTGCTAATTCTGTCAGTACACATTAAAACAGATAAAATCATGCTTTAAACGTTGAAGAAATTTTATTTAGTGAATACTGTAATGTGTTCTTCCAGGTGCTGTGGCTTCCATGTTTTGGGTTGATGCTGACTTAGGGAGTGAGATTTATCTTGATGGTAAGTTAATTTTCTTTTGCTTTTAGGCAAATTTATTTTTATTGTCAGGTCATTTTTTTTTTAGCTGAACTGATTGAGAATTTAGATACTTGCAATATAATATAAAATGTTTTTATGAGCTATGCTTAGAGAGTCTAGGCATCAGATAACCTAAAATGTCTCAAATTCTTTAGATTATTTAACTGTTAAGAGAATTTTGATTTTAATTATGTGGAAATAAACTAGGAGAATAACTTGACTTCTGTAATGTATCACATTTTACTTTATGAAATTCATTATATTTTGGATGGTAAGCTTTTAATCACCAAAGGAATCTTTTTTCTTGTTTGCTAATTTAATTTAAAATTTATGCCTTCTTGGTTCTTATAAACAATGCTAGGCACTTAGTTCATATTTGAAATGCATTTATTTTATTGAATTGTATTAGTAAGAGAAAAAAGTTAATAGCATTTGTAAACTCAAAAACATTAGTTTTATTTTTTTCTCAACTACGGTTGTGCAGTATAAATAAAAAAATTTTTAAAGGTGATTAAAATGTTTATTCCTTTATAGGTATCATAACTGTTGTAGATTCAAAATATGGATTAAAAGTAAGTTGAAAGATTATGAGTTGCTAAGTGTTAAGAGCTAGGAAAAAAACATTTCATTGTATTATTTTGTCTCTGTATCTGTTTGAAACTTTTTTTAAAATTTTTTTCAAAATAGTATTTTGAATAATAGATAGTTTACATTTTAAAGTATCTTTTTGTGTTTTTAAATGATATTATTTCTATTCTTGTTTGATGTTAAGGTAAAATTTAGACTTACTATAATATTTCCTAATAAGGATGTGGGGTTAGGATAAAGTTTGAGTATGTAATTCCAGCACAGTTCAGCCCCAATATAGATAAATTTTCTGTTTGGTGAAAGAACTTAAGCTTAGTAAAAACATTACTTTGTAAAATTGCTACCAAACATAAGCTGGAAGTCAGTTGTGAAAGATACTGCTTTACAAGTAGAGAAAGAGAGGGAAATACAGTCATTATATTCAATGTACGTGTGTGACAATGGAACGCCATAACTTGGGGACTGGATTGGAAAAGATGGAGGAGAAGGATGGAAGGAGTGACTGATGAAGACACATTGTTGAATTGGACTTGATTATCTGTACTGATAATCACACTTGTTGGATTGAAACCCTTTTTGTACAACTACTTAAAGATAATAATAACAACAACAATAATAAATAGTGCTTTACTTCGTCTTGAGGAAATTAGGATTTATACATAGGGCCAATGAGGAGAAATTCCCCATCAAAAGACACTGCTGGAGTGATTGGCTTAGATCACTGCTTAGATTCTAAATTGCATTTAGTTGGCTTCAATTTGTAAAATGTCCTTAATATGACTTAAAAGCATATTGTTACATTAAATACAACAGCGTCTTTCAACTCCCCAAGTGAAGTATTGTTACTAAAAGAATCAGAGAATGAATTTATCCTCTGTCCCAGCTATCCCCACAGCAATCCAGACATATCCTCAGGGACCAAAGTAAGACAGTTTCAAGAGGTTTAATTCAGTATTTAAAAAATTACTCACTTGAATTCTGATCCCTGACTTAGCTGTACTTGTTGATTTTTGAAGTTTTTCTTCCGAATCTTGAGTGAAGATATATGCAGTTCATCAAAGGGTCTCCAGCACTCCTCAACCAGCCCTTCACCCTCTCTCCCATAGAGTGCCCTGATCTTAGAAGTTTGGAAGAGAATTCCTTTGTTGGAGTCTAAATTTTAAAGTTATGAATAGAGTAATAATCAAAGACTCCAAAATTTGTGAATAGAATAGAAATCAAAGATTCCTCAAATTGTAATATTTTTGTAATTTTACTTTATAAATCTACCGTCTTTTAAAATCGTATTTCAAGCAAATTGTTAAAAAAAAATAATCCCTTCAAACTGCCAAATTCTTCATTTTGGAGGACTTATCTATTATAGACATGTCTGAATCCACCTCCTTTATCATTTTATTACCAAATTTGGTAATAGCATAGCTAACAGAATAACATAGATAACAGATAGGTCATTTCATTTGTTGTTCATAGACTTAACATGCTACACCCAAAGTAAAACTGTTTTAAGATTATGGAACATTAAATGCATAATTGGGTGTAGTGAAGACTTAAATAGAATCTATTATCTGAATGATAGATGCTGAAAAAAAAACAAAGCAGCATTCTGAATAATGCAAACACAGTATATGTTTAACCCCCTGCCACCTTGATAAAACCTCTTAAATTATTAAATCAATAAACCTACACAAAACTGACATACTGTCAGGATAATAGAAACTTTAGATTTTCAAAGTCAAATGCCAGATAAATAACTTTGCCTTTATATAAAGAATTTGCCAACTTGTCCAATTCCTCTGGTTGCAAAGCTTGACCTCAGTAGCTGCTTGGGATTCAGAGAATTCCGAGGCAGTACAAGTAATGACACTTGGATAATGGGCAGCAATTTAAGGGTGTCATGCTTCACAGAGCCAGCCCATCACAAGTAAAGCTGAGAAATGGTACCCTGTGGCCAGCCAGCAAAATTGAAACTGAAATGGTAATTGATATCATGGGCTGTCACTCTAATGGGATTGTCACCCATTGATCTGAAATATTCATTTTTTAATCATGGGCAAAGAATTGGACAAGTGAAAATGACAGCTCTCTATTCTCAAGACTTGACACCCAGGCTACTGACATTGTTCTTTTCAGGTCTACAAATGTGACAGCATTTAATGCAATAGAATCAATGAATGAAGTTACACATAAAAGGTCAAGTGAGCAGTTTCTTTTTGGCTCCTCTGTTATATTGCACAAACTGTTGAGACAATTCAGTCAGAAAACAATTTGGCTTGGGAAAGGCCAGAAAAATAAACATTATGCAGTCCTGTTTTTTTTTAAAGTGAAAGTATTAGATCTGTTTGAAAGAATCTATATGAAAGAAATTGCTGTTGCTACTCCTTCTCTAAATGATGTCTGACATCATTGATACAGATATTTTCCCACCGTGGTCAATAACACTGTTCTTACTTAGCCAGTGAGTTATAGGATAGTCTTAATTTTACTAATGGCTTTCTGGTCCAGCTTGTTTATTTTGCAGAAGAGGACACCTTGTATTCCTTCTATATATCTACAGTAGTGTTATGTCAAAGGATTTCTTGGTTTCTTTGAGTTAAAGCCAAAATTGTGTATATTACAAGTACACACTTGCTCTCCTGAGATATGTGTGTGTACCTAATGATATATTCTGAGATATGGGTATATAGTTGAATGTGAAACAGTCACATTCATCAGCTCATAAACAAGCCATAATTATCTGTGATTATTACATGTCATATTCTTAATAGATTTGTGTGTGTTGGCAGGCTTATATTTGGGGAGATTGCAATTATTTTTACATTTAATACTTCCTGACTGTCTGGATGGAACTAATAAAATGTTAGTGAACTCTATTTAGCTTTGAATGGAGATATCTAATCTTTTAGAGAAGCAAATGGTTACATAAGAATGGAAAATTTAAAAACACATAGCTGATACTTATGTCATTATTTTTGTGCTTTCTAAACTCACAGCCAGATATGTAAAATCAACAATATTATATTTTGAAAAATATTCCAGAGTAGTTTCTTTTTAAAATTTGTTTTACTGGGATTTGAACACAGGGTCTCAAACTCTTACTTGGCTTTTTTGCTCAAAGCTGGCACTCTGCCCCTTGAACCACAGTTCTACTTGTGATTGGTTTTGGGTTTTTTTGGTCAGTTGTGGGGCTGAACTCTGGGCCTGGGTGCTGTTCCTCAGCGCTTCAGCTCAAGCCTAGCTCCGTACCTCTTGAGCAACAGCACCACTTCTGGCTTTTTCTGCTTATGTAGTGCTGAGGTATCGAGCCCAGGGCCTCATGCATTCAAGGCAAGCACTCTACCACTGAGCCACCTTCCCAGTACCACTTTTGGCTTTTTGATAGCTAACTGGAAATAAAAATCTCATAGACTTTTTTGCTTGGGTTGCCTTCAAACCACAGTCCTCAGATCTCAGCTTCCTGAGTAGCTAGAATTCCAGCTAGTCCACAGCTTTTTTTCAGTTTTAAAATTACCTGCAATGTTACATGATCATCCAGAAGCAAAAGCCTTGTTACCACTGGGTCATTGTTAAGTAGATTTACTACTCAATGGAAAGGGATTTATGACATAGCATTTTTCATATTCTAACATCTCTGTATCTATGTTAGCAAATAAGTGTGTGGCGGGGTGTTAACTACAGTTAATTCAAGAGCTGTGTGTTGGGTTTCTGTGCCAAGCATTTGTCTAGGGTCTGATAGTCATTTTCATTCTCTTGATACTTCAATAAAAATAATAAAATAATAGCAATAGCTCTGGGGTGGTATCCTGTGATGGTGGGGTTTTAAGATTCTTTATACAATAAGAATAATTATTTCCCATAATCACTATAAAGTCTAAATGAAATAATATAACTAAAGGAATTTAATAATATGTGACATTCAATTCAAATATATAGAGTATTACTATTAATCAATACCTTAGTAACCAGTCTTTTTATTGTGCTAGGAAACCTCTGTTGAGCATTGAGGTGTTGAGGGGTGGATATGATTTTTCAGAGTTGAAAAACGCCATTTTCCTTATGGCAAGTTGATGCCTTTAGGATGTAAGTAAAAATATAGGGAGGGAAGCTAGCTTCAGAGAGATGTTTTCATGTGCCTCATGACTCAGATCCCAGTGGTTCATGATTGTGATCCTAGTCACTTGGAAGTTGAGATAATGGGAGAATCTGGTTTGAGGCCAGCTCGAACAAAAATATTTTTTCACTCTTTCTCAAACAGTTGCTGGATGCTGCGGTACACACCTGTCATTCTACCTTTGTGAGGCATAAATAGGCAGATTGGATTCCAGACATCAAGACGTGAGATCTGATCTCACAAATAACCAGTGTCAAGATGGAGCCGAAGGCATTCCTCAGTAGAACACCTGTCTAGCAAGGGCAAGACCTTGAGCTCGATTCCTAGTACCGCAAAACAAAACTAAACAAACAAACAAAAACCCCACCTCTTGGCTCTTGAAATCAATGGCAAAGTCTTTTAAGGGAGCTAGCCTGACTCTGGAGAGATTAATAAAATGAACAGTTGCGTTAGGAGGCTAGATTACTCAGCTATGAGTTTAGGTTTGTGTTCTTCCCGCCATCTCTCTTTTAAGGGAAATTAAAGGGCCTGGTACTTAGTTCATCCTGTGTATGGTTTTGGGATAGAGAGTTAATAGGAACAGAGGGATGGATGGATGGATGGATGTTAGATTTCAAGAAAGTAACATTTCAATGGTTATCTTCATTTGTATAACTAATAATGAATGTTTAGAACAAAAACAGCTTTATAAAAAAGTACATAAATTTGGAACTACAGTTTCTATGATTTTGTGGTACATTTTAAATGGGGGGAGGGGTGTCTTTTTAAGAAAAATAAAGGGCAGGAGTATACAATTTTATTTCCTTTCCTCACTGTCCTAGACTCACCATAGAAAAATGTACAGATGAGGAATAAAACGCTTTCAGATAGAAAGGTAGTTAGCACAAAAAGACAAGTAATGCATGACTTTATGTCAGGGGCCGAGGCAGAAGGGGAGAGTTAGGTAATGGGTACAAAGTCATAGTCAAAGAGAGGGAATATGTTCCTATTACATTCCACAATATCCTAGGATTATTACATTCCACAATATACTAGCCTAGAATTCAAAAACACAAGAAAAGAGGCTTTTGAATGTTGTCATAAAATCTGATCATTGAGTCAGATGATGAATAACCTGTATCCTGAATTGATCAGTACATTTGTATGTACTAGAACATCACATTGTACCTGTAACAATGGCTACCCATTACCTGTCAGTTAAGAAAAATAAACTAGAATGGGCACCAGTGGCTCATGCCTAAAATACTAACTGCTCAGGAGGCTGAGATCTGAGGATTGCGGTTTGAAGCTAGCCTGGGCAGAAAAGTCTGGTTGATACTCTTATCTCCAATTAACCACTCAAAAACCAGAAGTTGCGCTGAAGCTCAAGTGGTAGAGCACCAGCCTTGAGCACAAAGAAGCTCAGCGACAGCACCCACATCCTGAGTTCAAGCTTTACACTGACCAAGAATGAAAAGAAAAGAAACTACAAGAAAGATCTTTAGTAGTACTTCTGGGATGGTCTCATTAGGGGCAAGAAAGCTGTCTCTTAGAAAAATCCTTCCTGTTGACATTAGATTTTGTATTATAATGCAGTAACTTTTTTTTTCAAACTTTCTTTTTGTTTAGCATTTAACAGAAGAAAAACCTGATGGCCTTATCAATGAAGCGTCTAGGTATTCATATTTAAAGTTTATATTGATTTCTACTCATTACTAAGAAAAACTCATTAATATGACACCACAAAACAAACTAAAAAGTATAAACATGAGTAAGGAAAATGTATTTTTCCCCATAAATTTCGGCTATTCATCATGGTCTGATAGCTAACATATTATTTAAAACCTCTTATTACAAAGAGAAGGCTGAGCATAGAAGTTCTTTGATTTTTGAGGAATTTGAGAAATGTTAACATTGAAAAATACTCTTGGGTAGTATCTTTGGAATTGAAGATTATTATAAAAATAAGGTTCGCTCATTTATTGCCCTGACTGCATCAGTGTTCATTGTTATTCAGAATAGGTTAAAAATATGGAAATGCTTTTGACACATAAACCATATTAAACCTAAATACCTTTGTATTCTTAACTGATTGGTCTTTAGATGGATAATTATTTAAGTTAGTTTGCTTACACTTAGCAGATTCTTGCAGTGGGATTTAGGATTCAGGGTAGATGACAGTCTCTAAATATGCTACTGAATTTAACAATGAGGCTCCCATCCTTTGAATTGGGATGGGTGGTCCAGGTGTAGGCCAGAAAGATTGCAAACAAACATGCAAGCAAGTGATTCCTGATCATTTTGAGATATTATGCTATCTTATTTTGTAATCCTACCTACATAAACACCACATTTTGTATGTGATTATGACACAAACTAGAATGAACTTAAATATTGCTGTAACTCTTAGGAAAATACTTAATGTAGAAAATATACACAAGCTAAATAGAAAATAGCCAATGCTTATAAAGGTCAAATGAAGATTGTACAAATCCTTTAATTTAAAGATTGTGACTATTGGAAGAAGTGTGACTCAAGTGGTAGAGTGACAGCTTTGAGTGAATAAACCAAGCATGAGCACAACCCCTAATATTGGCACACACACAAAAGGATTGCATTTTTTTTGTTTTATGTATGGAGGTTTGAACATTCTTTCTTCATATGAAATTTACATAAACAGAAACATGATTGTGATACACAGTCCATTGAAATCTGCCTTTTCAGTGAACTAAAATTAAATTAGTTTTGAGAATTTGGTTGTGATCTTTGATAGATAACATAAGACTATATGAGGAATAAATAGTCCAGAGATTTGCCATACTCTTGGCGGCTTCTACCTGTAATCATAGCTATTCAGGAGGTGGAGATCTGGTGGAAGGCCAGTGTTTGAAATCAGAAGAGAGAGAGAAGTCTAAAAGACTTCATCTCTAATTATCCAGCAAAATGTTAGACTGTGAGTATAGCTCAAGTAGTAGAGTATAGAATATCAGCCTTGAGGCAAGAAAGCCAAGCAAGTGTGAGAGACAATAGAATTCAAGCTCAGGTAGTAGCACAAACATCCATCAAAATAAAAACTAACAGTATTTCCTGAAGAACTGAGGAAAAATGAAAGATCCCTCAGCTCTTTACTGTTAGTAGAAAACATAATTTCTGATCATAATAATATATTTTGTTCTATAAGCATAGTGCCAGTTTGGAATTTCTATCTTTTTTAGAGACTGAAATTTATATTTATAGTGGTGAAGAACTTGATATTTGTATAAGATCCTGATCTTCTCAAGTAGTTTTTTTAAAACCATGACTGTTTAGTTACTCTGTTTTCTGCATTTATTAGAAATAATAAATATTACAAGAAACATTAAGTAGATTATCCTCATTCCTCTCACTGAATATCTAAATTGTATGCTTTTCTTTATGAAGAAAATAGCAAGTTGAAAATTTTTCTTTGGGTTATAAACATTTTGCGGCTTAGCTTCATAAAAGCTTCAGAGTAGTGAAATCTGAACTTATTTAGTGAGAATGCAATTAATGACCTGAAGAACAAGTAGAGTCAGTATTATAGAATCCTAAGTATTTCTTAACTGATATATTAACATAACAAAGTTGTTATTTCTTAACATTTCTTTTGACACCTGTTCTTTTTTTTTTTTTTTGCTGTTCTAGGCAAGTTGCTTTGGCAGATATGATTCTCATCAATAAAACAGATTTGATTTCAGAAGAGGAGTTAAACAAATTACGAACAACTATTAGGTACACTAGATAGCAGTTGTATATTGTATATTTCAAAAAACCTAGAAGGAAGGATTTTGAATGTTTTCACAATAAGGAGGTGACAAATGTTTGAGAAAATACGTGTGTTTAACCTGATTTAAGTGTTACACTAAATGTATACATGTATTGAAAACACTGGCCATCCCACTAGTGTGTATAATATTTATGAGTCAGTTAAAATGAAGTTAACTCGAATTACTTTTAAAATAGAGAGCAGCCATTAGCTACTACAAAATTCTAAGAGAATTAAGTAACTACATGTCCATGGATTCAGTATACAAAATATTTTCCCCCTGATTTGTTTGGAAGAAACTTAAGGGTCAAGGTTGACCTACCTCAGTGACTATTATGGAGTTACATGTAACAGTTAAATATAATAGCTGTATGTTAGGTCAATAGAATATATTATATATTATATATATTATACATATGTATATAATGCCCGTTGCTTGCAGGATTTAATTCAAATTCATGCATAGTCCTATAACTTCATCTTTTCTTTTCCTGTCTTCTCACCCTTTCCTAGCATTCAGACTCTATTTCCCCCAACTTTACCCAAGCCTGTGAATTTACTTTCCTATGAATGATGAACATGTCTTGCCCAGTTCCAGGGTTTTCTCATGTTGCCAGTTTCTGAATCCCAGTTTCCCCTTCCCCATCTCTCCCAAGCAACATTAGAGAGCTTATTTTTTTCAAAAAATCTCTCTCCAGCCCGTTGGCAAAGTTTTTCCTGACTCAGTGTCTTCCCTCATAGGCAGCTGTCTTTCAGCGTGCTGTAATGTCTTCAGTGTCCATGGGCAAGGCTAGTGGACATAGGACAATCTGAGTAAATACTCAACTACAGGTTGTGAGCCAACGGTCATTGCTGACTGTTCTAGAGTCTCCATTCCTTCTGGAACCAAGGATGGACATGTCAAGTGAGGTTACGTTCAGGAACTTTGCTTAGAATTGTCTTTAACGACCTAAACTAGGCAGATAGAGATGCTACAACATTTTGCTATTGGGGTATCTTTGTGCACAGTGGCTCTACATTGCTGTAGTGGTATTCAGAGCTACTGCTGATTGCAGATTTTGACTCTGTTGTACTGGTTCATATAGTATAAATTACAAACTGAATCGATAAATCTATGATTCATTAAACAGTTGTTTGCAATGATTAATGATTACAAGAGAAGTTGATAGCTCTTCTCTATATTTGGTTTTGTTTAAATAGTAATATTCTTAAACTTTACTATACAGATGATGTTTCATGTAGAGAGCAGGTAATGTTTAGATATCGTTTGAGAATATGGAGCATGGGTTCTGCTAGAGTTCTAATCCCTGGTCTGTTTCTCAGTGTTCTTAAGGATTTATTTTATCTGTAAAACAGGAATAATACCTGTCTTATAAGTTTGCTTTGAGTAATACTGAGATAGTGCTGGTAAATCTGTGTACTACATGACAGTAAGCACTTTTGTACCTATTATTGTAGTGTAAAAGGTTTGTGGGTTTTTTTTCCCCCCTTTAGAACATGTTCCAAAGAGAAGGCTAAGCAATTTGTAAAGTACTTGAAGGAAAGGGAGAGATTTACCTCGCAATGTTGTGTGTGAGAAGGCTTACCATGAAAACAAGCTTGAACAAGTAGCACATATCTTGGTAACCGTAAAAACAATGGAAGAAGTGATGATATATACAGGCAGGTAGATGAGGTGTTTGCTGTGTTGCAGGTACTTCTTGGTGCCATAGAGAGAACCATTTTCCTCTATTTTAGTTGTGGAGTCATTTTCACAGTGTGCTTAGGGAGAAGTTGGTTATCACTAGAAATTTGAACATGAGAATTACTAGATAACATAAACCGTCTTTTCTTTTCCTTTCCCTCCCCATTTTCTTGTCACTCTTCCATCCCGTCCTTTGTTCCTTAGTCCCTCCCTCCCTCCCTCTCCCTTCCCCACCCTCTTCCCTTTCTCTCCTTGTCTTCTTTCCTTCTTTTTTCTTTTGGTGGTACTGGGAGTGGAACCCATGAATTTGAAGTGCATGTTATGCTAAGTAAATACTATACCCCCCACTGAGCCGGGTCCCCTTGAAATCGTCTTTTCTAAAGTGAAGGATATTTTTTTATTTTTTAAATTTTTAACAATTTATAATACGTGGGATTTTATTGTGACATTTCCACATACACACAGTGCACTTTAAAACAATTCATCCTCCACCCCCCATATTCTGATTCTTCCCCTCTCTCCTCCCTCCTTTGGTGGGTTTCGTTATTCTGTCTTCATGTATGCATGTGAGTGTATGTGCACGTGAGTGTATGTGCATGTGGATGCATACTTATGCCTCAAGTGTAGGTTCTTTTTTTTATAGTAAAAGTATCTTCATAGGAAGATGAAAGTGAAGGGTCTTCTTTTATGTTGGCCACCCCTAGTCTATCACTATGCAGTACATTTTAACATAGTGTATTTTCTTAATGCATGAATAGAATATACCAGATTTATAACTTTAAGAAAAAGAATAATTAAACTTTAAGGAAGTTCAAGTTTTGTTTTTGCATATAGTTCCAGCTATATTTGTGTTTTCTTACTTTCTATTTTAGAAATATAATGTGAGTTGTGTATCTTTAATAAAATGAGCATTTAGCTTTTGACCTGCTTTTACTTATATTTTTAATTTCAGATCCATAAATGGACTTGGAAATATCTTAGAAACACAAAGATCAAGGTATATTTAAAAATTCTGCTTCAGTAGCACATGTACTAAACAAAGCTATTACAACTCATAATTTTAGTTCATAAGCACTAATATAAATATACTCAATTATAATGTAAGAAAGATACTGGTACATTTTAAAATATGGAGTTGTTTAGAATGCCTGGGAGCTGTCCTTTGAGCTCTTTTGCTCAAGGCTAATTGGAGATAAGAGTCTCCTGGGTACTTTTCTGCCTGGTTTGGCTTCAAACTAAGTAGCTAAGATTTCAGGCATGAACCACTGGTACCCAGTTTGGGATGGTCTTTATAGGCTATTTTGCTATATTTAGTCTGTTTTGCTATATTTAGTTTGTTTTTGTAACTAAGGCAATAGATCTACAGTAACGCTGTACAACGAAGCTTTTGTTTATTAAGGAGCAATAACAAAGACTTGCAATCAGGTGTGGTAGCATACATATATATGTATAAATAAAATCCCAGCACGTATATGTATATGTGTATGTGTATATATATATATATATACATATATATGTATATATATGTATATATATGTATATGTATAAAATCGAGCACATGGGAAGCTGAGGCAGAGAGGATTTTGAGTTCTAAGCCATCTGGGCCACATGATGAGACCCCGTCTCTAAAGACAAAATAAAAGTTCTTTCATACTCCAAAGAAGTCTGGAAAACTATGCTAAAGAATCTTATGTTAATTTAAGGCATTTAAATGGCTAATTCTTTAAAAATCTCATTTCACAGCTGTAAAAAAACAAAACAACTATGTTGTAAAAATCCATGGGGTCTTTACCTTTAAATTCTTGGTGTATTCCTTTATAACATTTTTATTTAAAGTCTTTTAGGTTCTTTTCCTTTTTGTTGTTGGTATGGCTCTGTTCATACAGATGTGGTTCATTTTATACAAAAGACATGCTCTTAAAATATTTTTGTAGCTTGAACTGTTTTCCACCAAGTTGTGTCATGATTTAGAAAAATTCCTGGATTAAGATATTTTACTAAGGTCATGTGTTTGGTGAGAAGGGACTCAGCATCTGATATATGCCACAGGGTGCAGCCAGCAGCTCTGCGGCCTTGAGCCACACAGTCCCAGGTTGAGAGGTTCCTTGAAGTGCAGCCGGGGCCTGCTATGGCAGAGCTTAGAGGTGCTGACAGACTACCAGAAGCTTTAGGAGGTGGGAAGGCAGCAGCTGCTTATAAGCTTGAGAGCAGCTGGGGAGTGAGTTTGGAATGCATTCTCAGGAACCACTCCTGCTGACAGTGGAGGAAAAATGCCTGCAGAGTGAGTCCTTTGCAGGCACTGTAGGCCTGGTGTGAGCGGATGCACTCCTGGAATTTCCAGTGCCATTGTATCAGTCTTGGAGTCTCTAACTCATGCCAAGACATTTCTCAGCATGTCTTCTTCCTATTGCACTATACCTTGCTTCTCACCTTAGTTTTAATTTCTTTACAAAATAACAGACAAACTGAATACTGCTTAAATGAGCTTTAAAAAAATCATATTTGTAAATAACTGTGGCTGTAAGACCATATCTTTAGCAACCATATTAAATCAAGTCTATTTTGTCTGATTTCATTTTTAAAGTATCTATGTCATAAATAGGTTTGTTTCATCTTGCTTACTTTATTATGTCACTATAGATAGATAGATAGATAGATAGATAGATAGATAGATAGATAGATAGATAGATAGATAAATGAAAATACCGTACAGAGGGGCTACAGTTACATGAGCAAGGTACTGAGTACATCTCTTATCAAGCTTTGTTGCCTCCTCCTTTGTTTCCCCTTCCCATCCTTTTATTTGCTATTTCTAATCTTCCTTCTAGTCTGGTTCTTGTCCTTTTCCTTCTTCCTGTCCCCCTTTCTCCCCACCCCCGCTTTTCCTTTTCCCTTTCTCATTCCCTGTCCTGCTTTAGACAGATAGTCTGCCATTTGAATCACTCTCTCCAGCTCTTTTTTCTTTAGTTATTTTTGGGATAGAGTCTTGGATTTTTACCTAGGACTGACCTTTGAATGTAATGCTCCTACCTAGGGTCTCCCACATATCTAGGATTATAGTTATGTATGACGGTGCTTGGCTTACATGTTGATAGAATCTCATTAATTTTTGTCCAGTTTGCCTTGAATCATGATCCTTCTGATATCTGCCTCCTGACTAGGTAGGATTACAGATCTGAGCCATCATGCCCAGTGCTCATTTCTGCTATTTCTAACATTTGTTCTAGTATAGAATAGTAAATATGCAAGGATTGTTACTTCAAAAGATGCATTAACAAGAGAATGAAGGTTTTTTTTTTTCTTCTATTTCTCCAGTATCTGATTCTGAAATTGTCTTCCCTGCAGGGAGAATTAAAACTGTGTTAGAGTCTTTATCTGTAAAGACCATAGAACAATTTACTGTTGAGTCGTGAATCTTAGATTAAACATTCCCCAAGATTTCTTGAGGCACAGACATTTGAGCATCTTAGTATGGAAGGTAGAAGTTTGCTTCCTAAGAAAATATTTGAAATCACTTGGGAAGTTTATTTTTACATTTACATTTAGCATTTTGTAGTTGACAGCTGCTGTAAGCATGTGTAGAAAGGGTTTTCCATGTGTATTTAAGATTAAGGAATAAGAACAATGAATAGCATTGTTTTCTTTGTAAGGTTCAGAATTGTGGTTGCATAGTCTTTAACTTTTTGGACCTTAAAAATATAGTGATTTAATTGGACTGAACAATGGAAAATAAAAGCCAGTTGGTTGATAGTAAATTAACCAGTGCAAACTACAAAACATTCTACTGAGTCCTGGGCATTTCATGGCAGATTAAAGACTTAAGTTGTAGTTAAGGCAAAGTTGCCTTTGAGCTCAGTCATTTGTTGAAAACAGATGCAAACAGGCAAAAGATAACATATTAGATATTACTAATATATCACAACAGCAATATTAAAGTTCACAGGGTCCTGTAAGTTTAGGAAAGTAGAAAGGGCTAGCTCTTCATGCTTCCTGATGAAACACATGGAGCATTTTGACTGGGAAAGTGATTATTGATCTGAGTCCTAAAGAATAAATGAGAATTTTCCAAGTGACCTCTTTTGTCAGGGAGATTTTATATTCCTGGAACCTGTAACCATTTTAGGATTACTAGGACACATGGCAATGTGTGTGTGTGTGTGTGTGCACGCATGCATGTATATGTGTGTGCATGCACATGTGCATGTCAGTCCTGTAGCTTGAACTCAGGGCCTGGGAGCTGTTCCTGAGCTTTTATTACTGAAAGCTAGTAATCTACCCCTTGAGCCAGAGCTCCATTTCCAGCTTTTTGGTGATTAATTGGAGATAAGAGTGTCATAGACTTTCCTGCCCTGACTGTCTTCAAACCATTATCCTCAGATCTCAGCCTCCTGAGTAGCTAGGATTACAGGTGTGAGCCACCAGTGCCCAATGACCCATGAGTTTTGTAGCAGAGAGAAAAGATACGTGGCTAAAGATCTTACCCCAAAAGATCTTATAACATGTTCCTTGTATTTTCTCCTATAAGCAGCAAGGAATTAGCGAAGGCTTTGAGGTTGACTTGATGTTGAGATTATTCTCTGATCCAGGAAATACAGGAAAGAGAAGAAACTTGGTGGGTTGGTGGTAGAACTAGGTTTGGAAAAGATAACTAGGTCAGTTTTGTAAACAGTTCTGAGTTAAGTTTGAGATACCACTGAATAAGGCATTTGGAGTTCAGACCTGAGTGTTTAAACAACATCTACAGCTCATAAATCAGGGATTGGCTGACATACTCTGTAGAGAGACTCGTTGAATTTTGAAAGATGTAAATGCTCCATTTACACTATTGCTAGAATAGCAGCTGAACTTGGTACTTCTAAGAAAAATAGGAAGAAAAATGAACATTTGAAGTTTTTTCTTTTCCCACTGAGTTTTAAAATGATTGTTATAGCTGGGTGCTGGTTGCTCATGCCTGTAATCCTAGCTACTCAGGAGGTTGAGATCTGAGGATTGAGGTTCAAAGCCAGCCCAGGCAGGAATCTCCGTGAGACTCTTATCTCCAGTAAACCACTAGAAAACCAGAAGTGACGCTGTGGCTCAAGGTAGAGCACTCGCCTTGAGCTGAAGAGCTGAGGGACAGCGCCCAAGCCCAGAGTTCAAGGCCCACTACTGACAAAAAATAAATAAAAAATAAAATGATTGTTATAATCTTTATTTTTCTTAATGTTTTGGAAAACATTTGGCATTTTTATCTCTAAAGGAGAAAATTAAACACATTAAGCCCTAGAAATTGATTTTCTAATCACATGGCTCAAGTAAATGAAGCATTTTTTTTTGTGGATAAAGTTCATCAGAACTTCCGTCTGGAAGCTTAGACTTTGTCCTTTTAGTTGCTTCATGGAAAACTTAGAGACTTCAATATTTTATTCTCTGCAGAGGACAATAGATCAATAATAGACCAATAAGAGTTGGTCTAATAATGGACCAATAATCTGTTGAACCGATAGATCTACGGTTGATTCTGTCAGTTTTAGAAATACCAGTAGAATTTGGTTTTGTAAAAGCACATTTAGCTCTCAGTGACATGTACCGTCTCAGGCACTGTCGTAGTGAAGCTGTGTATTTATTAAAAAGTGAATTAGATATTTACAAAATTCACATGAACAAACTCTACTCAAGTAAGGTGGTTTTCTAAAATAAAGATGATAAATATTGAGGAGGAACTCCATTTTTTTTTATTTTACCTGTCATATATATTTGCTCAACTGTGGAGGTGAGACAGAAAGTAGGTTTCATGTTAAGACTGGTCTTTTAGTGAAAGTTGATACCAAAAAAATGTCTTCATGGAGCATTTACTTCTTTGCCTGATCATTTTCCTAATTCAGCACATCATGAGTGTCCAGAATTCCAACTGTTGATGGAATCTATTAAGTAGAACTTGGGAGCATTTGTCTTTAATAAAATGGGATTTCCCCATCTGCTAAGCTCAACGCTCCCAGCCTAATAGTGTTGTTGCAGCCAGTGTGAGTGTGGGGCCTGCTACCAAGTCCCAGGCAGGCGCAGCTGGCCAGCCCGAACTTCAGGGAGGTAATTGGGTTTTCATGTTTGGGCAGTGAGTAAATCTTGATGATGACAAATGAACTTCTGTTTTCTTTGTGAAAGAATATACTGAGTGTATTGAAAACTCCTGGAGTCTGACTTTTATATCTTTGTCCTTTCCCTTCATTTTAGCATTCTGAAGTCTGTGCTCTGCTGTTTTATAGGCTTTATGCTAATATTGGAAACCAGGACCCACCTATAAATTTACTGTTGTAGATTTAAACTAAACTTATTACTAGTTGTGATATTACATATTATTTGCATTTGCATCACTACATTCCTAGTAGGGTTTAATTATTACTAAATAATTTGGGGTGGATTTTATCAGTACTGGGGCTTGAACTCAGAGCCTTGTGTTCTTGCTCAGCATTTTTTACTTATGGTGAATCCTCTACTACTTGAGCCACACCTCCAGTCCAACTTTTGGGCTGTTTTCTCAGACTTTTCTGCCTAGGCTGGCTTTGAACTTCAATCCTTAGATCTTATCTTCCTGAGTAGGATTACAGGTGTGAGCCATAGGTATGTAGCATTTCTAAATATTTATTTATTATTAATAAGTTTTTTATTGTGAAAATACCGTACAGAGGAGTTACAATTACATAAGCAAGGTAATGAGTACATTTCTTATCAAGCATTGTTGCCTCCTCCTTTGTTTCCCCTTACACCGCACCACTTCCCTAAATAATTTTAAGAGAACTAACATCTATTTAGATAGAGCAAATTGCAAATTGAGAAGTTGCCCTCTACAGGGGACCCTAACCGAAGTCAGTGAAGTCAGACCTCCATGTAAATAGGGTCCTTGAGAAAATTAATATCTATACAATAGTTGTTCTACTATTCCTCTTTTTTTAATTTATTTTTTTTTTACTGCTTAGACTAGAAACAAGAGCCTTGCATATACTGAATACTCTGTCACTCCGTTTTACCCCAGCCCCTGACACCTCAGTATTTTATTTATTTATTTTGCCAGTCCTGGGGGTCGAACTTGGGACCTGCGCACGGTCCCCGAGCCTCCTTGTGTTCAAGGCTAGCACTCCAGTGCTTGAGCCACAGTGGCACTTCTGGCCTTTACTGAGTAGTTTATTGGAGATAAAAGTCTCACAAACTTTCCTGCCTGGGCTGGCTTCCAACTGGAATCTTCAGATCTCAGCCTCTTGTGTAACTGGGATTATAGGTGTGAGCCACCAGCACATAGTTTTCAGTATTTTTGTACTACCTTTTATCATGGGAGGAGAAATACAAGAAATACAAAAATTCCAAAGGTTTTTGGGATATACCTGTATACTATGACCATTTGTCCTTTCTTGCTTTGTTTCTAAGTAATAAGCTGCTTACAGAAACATGCTTTATTAAATATTTCTAAATTGTAGAAATATAGTGTTCAAACTGCATGTGAATTACATTTCAGGATTGAAAGAAATCCTCATGGGGGAGAAAAACTATTAAAGAACCAAGTAATTTTCTGCTTAATCCTAACCATTCTCTACTTTCATGAATTTTACATAGACGTTGTAATAGCAGCCTTTTTGCTTCTTGCCTATCCATTTTATGCATTTCCTCAGGTAATGTTAAATCTTTTTGAGGGGGGTAGGGGAAGGCCTGGGGTTTGAACTCAGGGCCTGAGGTTTGCTAGGCAGGTGTTTTACTGCTAAGTTACCCCCTCAGTGTCCCTTGTTTGTTTTTGTTTGTTTTTGTGCTGGTTATTTTTCAGATAGGGTCTTGGATCACGATCTGCCTATTTTAGGCTTTCCTCCTTAGGTAGAATGAAAGATGAGTATGACCTGCCCCAGATACTTTCTGGGAGATAGAATCTCTTAGACCTTCCCTGGCTAGTCTGGAACTGCTATTTTCTCAATCTCAGCCTAACACATGGCTTAGGATAGCCTGTCTATAGGAGTCTCTTGAACTTTCTGCCTGAGTTGGCATCAAGCCACAATCCTTCTATTCTCAGCCTCCCATCTAGCTAGGATTACAGTCATGAAGTACCAGTGCCCAACTCCAGTTAATCTTTGTTTACATGTTTTTTATAAAAGAGTTTTAAAGTTTTTTTCTGAATTAATTGAATGTATTTCATATCATTGTCAAATATTCACCTAAATTTTCTTCCTTTTAGAGTTGATCTCTCAAATGTATTAGATCTTCATGCTTTTGATGGTCTCTCTGGAATAAGGTATGTTTTTGTATTTTCAACAATTTTAATGTAGTGTATATGTTATAGGAATGAGTTATACAAGTTCATCCCTTAAGTTTTCTGTCATTTCTTTTGCATATAACTCATTCTTAATGAATTGTTAATGGGTTATTTGGAAATCACTATGTGCTTTCCTATGAAAATTATGTTAATGAAGTTCAGAGAAGCAAGAAAATCACAGTTGGAGGATAGCATGGGCTGCATAGCGAGACCTTGTCTCAAAAAAACAAATTATAATGCAAATAGTAAGTCATCTGTAGAGACCCATCATTGATACTTCTACACCAAACCACTTATACTCCTATGGAAAAATGCATGAAGTAACACAGGAAATTGTAGCAAGTGCTCCTTTCTCCCTAGTGGTAGATAGCCTTCTTCCTCTTCCTGGAACAAACTTTTTGATAAAGGAGGGAAGGAAGATTATCCTTGGGTATCAATATCTTCTCTTTTTAAAATTGTAAGAAGAACCTACAAATTGAGTCCTCTCTTCCTAACAGACTTTTATATGTACACAGTACAGAATTGATAAGTAAAAGGCATGATGATATGCAGCAGAGCTGAAGAATGTACTGAAATTTAGGCTCTCCCAATAAGAGCTTCCTCTCTCTGCTCTGGCCTCTACTGTTCTAGTCTCTGCTGCTGTGGGGTTTGTTACGTTCGTGACCTGATATAAGTAGAACCATGTCGTAGTTGTGCTTCCATGACTGCTTATTTCACTTGATGTCATGTCCTCACGTGTATTCACATTATACTCACTGGAGGATTTCCTTCTGTTTTAAGCTGAATAACAGTACACTTTCATCTATGTACCATATCTGCCTTATCCATTCATTCATTGATGGACATGCATCCAGTGATGCATGCAATGAGTATCTTTTTAAGTTTCATGTGTGTCTACCCATACAAGATCATGAAAAGACAGCTCTCTTGACTCTTGAATTGTAAGGCAAATTTGGTTACTAATGGTAACTAGTAAATTTGGTTACTAGTGGTAATAATTCTGTACCTGTGCTGCCTAATTCATATTCATTTATATATCTGTGTAATTTTGCTTTAGCCTTCGGAATTACACAGAACTCATACACAAACTTTTCTGTTTCTAAGGTAGAAATGACCCTAAACTCAGATAGTCTTCCTTTTTAGTTCTTGATTTACTAGGAAGATGATTGGCCAAAGGTGTGTCCTAAACAGTAAGAACATGCGAGCTGCTTCTGAAATGGCCATGTGTCTAACCCAGTCTCGCCTTTTGTCTTTCTGATCCCTTTTTCTTTTATGAGTACTTAATGCTGCGTGAACAATTCCTCTACATTCCTTTCTTTCACCCTTCACATCTGGCCCAGAGCTGGATCATTTTGTTTGAAGCAAGGAACTGTTTTCTTGGTTACAGACCTTGTGATACTTTAGGTGTATTTACAAGGGAGAGAGGATGAAATAATATTGCCTTAAAGTTGCCTTCCTTAAACCACCTTTTTTTCTACTGTGTCTATTTTTGCAAGGTGAATTGTCACTTACTACAAAACACTAAACTATTTCTCAGTTGAACTTCCTGTGTTCCCCTTTGTGTTTTGCTTCTTAGTAGTTTATTCATTAAAAAAGATGGTAGTATGACATTACTTCCTATCTTGATATTCAGGGTATCAATTTTGTTTTTTCCTTTTGCTGTAATTTTCTCTACTAAAGCATCCAGCTCATTACATTGTTCTAACTTTTTACTTGGGAGAGAAAAGTTGTTCCATCTTAAGAAGAAAAGAGCTAAATTATTATTTTTACAGGACACAGTAATTTATGTAGTCAACACTACGCTATTGCCGATATTCTCCTCAGTGTAAACACAGAAATTACTAGAAAATTATATACTTCAAGTATCCGAAATGGGGATTCTGATTCACAAATTGTAGCTGTTGGTTCTTGTCCATTAGACTTCAGTGCCCTTTATGTTATTTCTGTGATAGAGAATATTGTGGGACACAGAAGTCTGAGACTTCCTAGGAACTAAAATATTCTTTGTTAAATTTTCTACCTTCTGCTTGCATATGAAGTTGTGTGCACATTACCTAGTAACGAATGTTGCACAGGACATACAGAAAAAGTGTAGGAATTCTTTCTATTCTCATTGAGAGCTGTTATGATGCTTTAGTGACAAGCTATGTGATGGAATCCCCTCCACTGTAGAGAAGACCTTTGCTTGACTTTTTCTTTGCACTCAGCTGCTAAACCAGAGATTCTCTTCCTGAGCAACCAGCTGGGAAGGATTTAAATTGACACTTTGTCTACTAAGACCCCCCAATGCGACTAATTCCCTCCAACAATTCCTACAAGTCTTTTCCCTTTCCTAAATTTGCTGTAACTAATTTACCCCTTGCTGATCTTCAACATAAGACATCTGCAAGGTTTTAAGTCCCTTTTCCCCTCCCATATTTTCCCCAGCAGTGTGGAAACATAGACTACAGTTGTTATGGTTATAATTTGTTCTGCCATATTCATCTCTGGGACCTTTCCATATCAGAGCAATGCATTCTTGGAATTCTGACTTTTTTCCCCCTTAGCCTAATTGGTAACTGGCTGTATAAAAGTTTGTATTTATGGATTCTATTTGTTCTTTATTAAATAAACAGGTTCAAGGAAAAACTTTAAAAAGAAAAATTTACCCTTCTGATGTTCTTCTGCTAGTATTATTTTCCTGTTAGGAAGCTAGGGAGAATTAAGAAGCTTTGACCAGTACTGGAAAAAAAAAATATATGTAATCGATAAATAAGATGTAATTAAGTATATATATATATATATATATATATATATATTTCTAAGCCTTTATGGAATTGGAATTATAAAGCAATTACTGATAGATTTGACTACATAAAAGTATCATAAAAAGGTTGGCTTCTCTTTTCATTGTGTACTTTTGCATGTGAGTGTGTATTTTATAGAATTTTTTTAAACGTTAGCTTTTCTCTATTAGAATATGTGATCTGCATGAAGATTTGGTACTATAGAATAGATTCATTTGTGGAATCTCTCCTTATTTGGTTCTATGTCTCTAAGTAATGTGAAAGTTTAAGTGAAGTGTATTTATCTCTGAACTTACGGTCAGTTCTTAGTTTGCAGAAAAAACTTCAGCATGTGTCAGCAGTACCTCATCTTGATCAGGTAAAAAAAACCTCACAGATTGTTTTATTAAGTCTTTCTAAAATTGTATTTTTGCAATCAGTTATGATAGTTCCTTTTTTCAATTTCTTTTTTATCTTTTGGTGCCTCCTACTCAATCAGCTTGCTTGCTTGCTGCTGCTCTCCCCCTTGCGCTCAGCCTCCAGAATGGCATTTGCTGGGTATTTTGGAAATGGAGCCTCTCAAATGTTTTTGTCTAGGCTGGCCTTGATCCATGGTCCTCTGGGTCTCAGTCTCCTGAGTAGCTAGGATTACATGTATTAACCACCTGTGCCTGGCTTGTGTTGATGGTTTTCATAATTTTGAGTACTTGAGAGATTATCCAATTCAGCTTTTTAACACATTATAGGAATTTATCAATCCAGAGTTGTTTAGAATCTTAGGAAATCTTGTTTTCTAGCTTCTCATCCCACCACTCAGCATTTTTTTTAAAATCAGTTCTTGTGATGGGAATTTCTACTTAAAATCAGCCTCAGAACTCTTATCTAGAGTCTATTTAGTCCATATTGAACAAACTGATTAATGAAAAGTCTGGTACAAGCATGGCATATTTAAATAAAAATTAACTTGAGTTTCACCTTTACACAACACTGTAAATTTGAACTCTATAAAGGGATGTTTTCATATTCTAAAATTCAAATCCCACAGGTAAGATGCTTAATTTTCTATGAACAAATTAAAGATATGTCCACTGTCCCCATGCTTCTGTTCAACAGGTCATAGCTAGCTAGCTTTACAACAATTCCTTTGTCCCATTTAAGAAAGAGTGAGGAGCTGGACACCACTGTGTCACACCTGTAATCCTATCTACTCAGGAGGCTGAGATCAGAGGATTGGGGTTTGAAGCCAATCTGGGCAGAAAAGTCCCTGTGAGACTCTTACCTCCAACAAACTACTCAAAAAAGCAAGGACAGCGCGCAGGCCCAGGATAGAGGGTGGAGTGGGGTGGCAGATACAGTGACAAGAAAAGAACTTGAGCGAGCACTGTACTTTGTTTTCTCTCTCTGGAAGCTATTTCTCAGTTGTTGTGTCATTACCAGTTATAATGGGACCCAAAAAATATCAGCCACATGTTCATTTGGCTCTCTTTTTTTTGTATTGGATTTGAATGCAGGGCCTTGTGATTGCTAGGCCAACACTCTAAGCTGAGCCCCCCTCCCTTTTTTATAACACTGAATATTGTGAGATACGGTCATTTGCTTTTTGCTCAGGCCTGTGCTTGACTGTGCTCCTTCTATTTTATGCTTCCCACCATACCTTAGATAACAGGTGTAAGCTACTGTGTCAGGCTTTTTTCATTAAGAGGAAGTCTTACAAATTTTTTGCCTGGGCTGGCCTGAACCAGATCTTCACGATCTCAGCCCCATGAGCAGCTAAGCTGGCAGTTATTAGCTTTGGCTTGTGTTTATAGGGAGCTATACCTTCATGTTGGTGCAAAGCTCTGAAAAACTTATCTTTAAGTGCATGCGAGAAAGTCTTTAGCAGAATTTTGGGGGAAAATGAAATATTTATGATCGTCATCATACAAAGGAGCTTCAGGTATTCTTACTTAGTTACTGGATGAAGAAAAGATACTAGGAATCAAGGATTAAAGATGAAAATATAATACTGATAAGAGCTTTTCATTGCCAGTGTGTCTATACCCACCAGTGTCTTGAATGTAACCCATTATGGCATTTACAATGTCTTGTATGAGTTGAAATGCTTTCACAAGTATTATTCTGCAGCATCCTTGAATGTAAATCCTTCCTTACATAGCCTAGGCTTGATGGGTCTCAGTGAATATTTATCAAAAGACTGAAAAGCTATGACTATCAAATGCAGATATAGTTCAGAATCACTTGTGGAACTTAAAAGAAAAAAAAGGTCCCTATCTCTCAAATCTCTAGGAATGGGGCTTGGATATGTGCATATGAATGTGTATTTTTGACATCTTATTATATAAGCTTTCAAAGTTGCATGAAAATGGAGAGAATAAAATGGACCCCTTTATGCATGATCCACTCAAACAGTGTGAACATGTTGCCAATTTTCTTTCATCTGTCCTCTCAACGTTTCTTTGCTAGCATTTAAAATATCTTAAACATTAAACTTCAGACATACATGAAAGTAGAATAGTATAATGATCCTGCATGTTCTCCTCACCCCACTAGAATGCATTGAAGCAAATCGCAGACATTATGTCATTTTGCCGGCAAATAGGGCATGTGTATTTTCTTAAAGCTCTACAGTGACTCTGGTGCACTCTCCTCCTTTAGATCAGTTAACCCAGCTTTTCAGTGATTGAGATGAGGTCTTTTTGCCTGAACTGGCCTCCAACTGCAGCCCTTCTGATCTCCCCCTCTCAAGCAGCTAGAGCTACATGTATAAGCCACCATTCCCAGAACATTTTATTTTTTATTTCTTTAGTGGTCCTAGGGTTTTGAACCCAGGGGCTTGTCTTTGTCAAGGTAGACTCTGCTGCTTGAGCCATGCCCTATGTGTCTAGTTCTTTAGAATTGGAGTTTTACAAAGATCAGGAGGATAATTACATCTCCAAGTCTATATTCTATAAATATTTTCAAAGTTCTGAGCTGATGAAGACATCATGTTATATCAATCTCATCTCTCCGACTCATTTAACCTATGCTAGCTCAGAGACAAAAAGAACTTTTCTTTCCTTTTTTTTTTTTGCCCGTCCTAGGGCTTGAATCTGATCAGGGCCTGGGCACTGTCACTGAACCTCTTTATGCTCAAGGCTAGAGTTCTACCACTTGAGCCACAGCACCACTTTGGGCTTTTTTTTGATATAGTTTATTGAAGATAAGAGTCTCACAGACTTTCCTGCCCAGGCTGGCTTTGAACTGCAATCCTCAGATTTCAGGCTCTTCAGTGGCTAGGATTACAAGCGTGAGCCACTGGAGCGGGTGGGACCTTTTCTTTGTTCTTGTTGTTTTTGATTGTGTTTTTGGTGCTAAGGATTAAACCCAGGACCTCATGCATGAGTGTTTGCCTAGCCCTGGGATTTAGTTTTTTGTTTTCTCTTATTTATTTTTTAAAATCATCTTTAAGTGGTTGTATAAGGAATTTCAGTTCAAGTCAGTTTGTAAGTAAAATGCACCTTGATCAAAGTCATTCCTTCATCATTCTCCCCCATTATTCTCAATTCCACCCATACCCTCAATTTACTTGGCTCCATTTCAATTTAGTTTTCTAAGAGAATGAAATGGCACTTCTGCCCTCTGCATAGTTAATTTTTCTGAGCCTTTTTCCCCACATGAAATGGAAGCAGTTACCTTACTCAGGATTATGGTGAAGAGTAAATAAAAAGATGAAATGAGACGGCACAGGCAAGAATGTCTGCTGAATAGAATGAGTACACGGGGCACATGATCCTTCCTGCTAGTGGTTCCAGAAAGGGCTGGACAACCCAAATCCTCTCATGAAAAGTTTTTGTCTAAGCCCTAGCCTGTTAATCTACTCTGCAGTATATGGAAAACGGAATTGCTAATTCCATATCAGTACATACAGAGGAAAATTCAATATACATAGGCAACTTAAAATTCCCTGTGTGTTCCTTATTAATACTCTGATAAAAATTATTGATCTTTTGATTCACAGAGTATTCTCACAGTCACTTTTGAAGTACCAGGAAATGCCAAAGAAGAAAGTCTGAATGTATTTATTCAGGTGAATGCGATTTTTGACTGATTAATGATTTATCAGCTGTTTTGTTGCCTAGTAGCATTAGTGACCGTTGGTCTTATTAAAATGTGTCACTTGGTGCAGAATCTCCTGTGGGAAAAGAACGTGCGAAACAAGGAGGAGCGCTGCATGGAGGTCATCCGGCTGAAGGTAGGCGGTTGCTTCCCTGTGGATGCTGGAACAGAGTCCTTCTGTGGCTCTTATATAAAAGTCGTATATTTGGGGTTAGTGCAAATAACCTCGGTCTGCTTTCATTTTTATCATCTCCACTGCTGAAAGGAGTTTTAGAAATTACTGCAGAAAGCATGATTTATTCATGGTGTAGGAAAAACAACATACTCTTTGACTACTGGAAGTCCCTGCTCTGCACTTCCAGTGTCCTGGCCTGTGAAATCCACTCAGTCAAAACTTTTCCTCTTGCCCCACACATTGGTCAGGTAGAGAAAACTCGGTTTATTTTTCTAAGAGAGCTTCATTTAAAAGAGAAAGGATTTTGAGAATCCCTCACTGATGGACCTTATGCGTCTTGATGCATTTAGCAGACACTGAACATTGGCTATACAAAGTTATACAAAGGACTAGGAGAATTCTTGTTCTGTGTTAAACTTATTCACCCCACTTGACATTTGGGTATGCATATCACCAAAGGTGTTTTTCCCAGGAGACAATGGTTCCAGGTGTGTGCTTAACTCATCAGCAGTCATTTGAATGTGTACTCTGAGTGTGTACACTTGCCTTTGTTGTTAGGAACTAGATTCGCTCTGGAGTTAGCAACCAACTATAGTTGCTAGAATGACAGAGGATGAGCTTGAGGGGAATCTTTTGACGTGGACTTTCTCCCTGCCTATCCTGGCTTATTTGAAGATTGTTCTGCAGAGCAGCCAAAGAATCTCAGGCTGCCTTCCCAATATTCCCTCTCAGAGGCCCAGAACCGACTCTGAAGCTGCCTGTGGCTACAGCATTACTGACATCGTAGGATTCTAAGTGGCAAACCATAGTTCTTTATCTGCTTCTATCCCGAAGAACTCAAGCTACCACCCGGACCTGCACAGAGTGCAGTGGCTCCTCGTGAGCTCTCCCAGGCTGTATCCTGTCCTTCACTGTGTGACCGTTTTTCACTTGTCCTCTTCAGTTCTTTGACCTTTATTATGTCACAACACAGAAGGATTCTGGAAGAAAACAATATATTCTTGGTCTTCATTTTCCTGTTATCAAGTATTAGACCTAGCACCATCACTGTAGAGGGAGAAGGTGGTAGCACACTTGTCCTGTGTGCAGGGAATCCTGAGTTGTCCCCGCATCCCTCCCTACTTAACTTCAGTAGCAGCTAATGTTTTATAGTCTTTGTAGAAGTAACACAGAAGTGGAGCTCATGTAATACTTTCCAAGGAGTTTTTTGGTTTTTGTTTGTTTTTACTATAAAAATTGAAAAAAAGCAGAACACAAAACTGGATATAGAAAAACAAAATCAGGAAAGAAATACATTAAAAATACACAAATGGACCAATAATACACAAAAATTGTGTGGCATCAATGACTGAGTAGTTTGTCTTCAACCATTTTTAAAATGCATATATAGTATATGTATGTAATGAACATTGCTTCATTAATTTCATCCTCTTAGGAGTTAGTTTATCAGATAAAATGTTCTCATTTTTATAAATGAATACAATATAACTTCTATCCAGGTATTATAATAAATTTTTCTTTTATAATTGTCAAAATCCATTTATTACAGTTCATTTCCAAAACAAACTATAAACCACTAAAATCCTTTAATTTCTCAAAAATCCTAACTAAAGAAGCATAAAATCTTTAAAAGCAGAACAATTAGTAGAATATGGCATAGGACATACTCTATTTTTCGGCTTCAGTTCAGGCTTTTTGTGGGTATACGTGACATATAGTGAAAGAATATCCCAGTCTATATTTATTTTACTGTTAGGGTGCTTCAAAGGGTGCTGGGCGCTTACAGCTCACACCCAGCTACTCAGGAAGCTGAGCTACAAGGATTGCGTTTCAAATCTAGCTTGGGTAGGAAAGTCTGTGAGAACCAGCAAAATGCTGGAAGTGGAGATGTGGCTCAAGTAATAGATTGCACCAGTCTTGAGTAAAAGAAGCCAAGTGAGTATGACTCTGAGTTCAAGCCCCAGTACCAGCACACAAAAAGGAATTAGCTGGGCTCTGGTGACCTGTAATCCTAGCTACACAGGAGGTGAGATCTGAGGAACCTGGTTCAAAGCCATCCTGGAAAAAACTGGAAGTGGTGCTGTGGCTCAAAGTGGCAGAACGCTCACTTTGAGCAAAAGAGTTCAGACACAGTGCCCAGGCTCTGCGTTCAAGCCCCATGATGGAAAAAGGAAAAGGAATTGTTGGGCCAACAAATGGAGAGAGAAATGGTGGGTGTACACAGGCATAATATTCAATGTGCATATGCGAACATGGAGCCAGGAAACTTGAGGGCTGGGCGGGATTGAGAGAGATGGGTGAGGGGAGAATGATCAAAATGCATTCCACGCATAAGTTGACATGTTGTATCGAAACCCCTTGAACAACTATTTCAAGATAAGAAAAAATCCATGGAAAATATTAAAACATGATTTTTGAAAAATGGATGTATATAAAAACCTTTTTATTAGAAGTTTTGAAAACTTTTCCAGGGTACAAAATACTGGAATGAAATAGTTGTGCAACTTCTTTCTATGTTCCTATTTTGAAAAAGAATAGCAGAAGTTAATCCATTCACATTGATGTGTTCTTTCTGCTTTTGAATTTGAGCTGGGGCTGACTGATTGTTCTCCTTGGATCAGGGACTGGTATCTCTCAAAGACAAACCACAACAGGTTATCCTCCAAGGGGTCCATGAGCTGTATGACTTGGAGGAGACGCCCCTGAGCTGGAAAGAGAACAGTGAGAGAACAAATCGACTGGTCCTTATTGGTAAGTGATAAAGTAAAATTTCTAAAGCAAAATAGATTGGAGAACTGAGCATGGTAGTCCCAGCACTTGGGCATCTGGGGCAGGAGAATTGAGTTTAAGGCTTGCCTGGATTACACAGCAAGACCCTCTCAACAACAACAAAAACAAACCCAATAGATGACATTAGATGACATAATGTGCTCAGCAATATTAACCAGTCTTATTTTATAACTAATAAATAATAACTGAAACTAATAACTCTTCTTTTATAATTAACAAAGCTTGAGCTAATGTATTTTAATCACTGATGGCATTCCAAAGAGCTTTTTAGGCCTTTTACTCTTCTTTAAGAACTCGCTAAAAAGTGAACACTTCCAAGCATTACATTTAAGACTTAACTAGAAAGTTAAAGAAGAAATAATTGAATTCCTGTTGTTTTTGTAAATTCCTAAAGATCACCAAGCATTTAGTATTCTGGAATTGATAGACAAATTATGTCATTTTAATAAGCATAATATAGTCACTAAGTACTTAGTGATTATATATAGTCTGGAATTAATAGATGAACCGTGTCCTTTTAGTAAGGATAAGATAATCACCCCATATTTTGTTTTGTTTTTCAGGCAGGAATTTAGATAAAGATATCCTTAGGCAACTATTTATCACCACAGTGATGGAAACAGAAGAGCCGTGGACCTCGGCAGATCCCATTTGTCCCTAGCGCAGCGGACATTCTTGTGATCAGGACTATGTCATGAAAAGAAAACAGGGATGTTTCTGGCTGCTGTATTTCAACCAGCTTTTCTCATTATTTCTGTGCTGAATTCCACTGTACTTGAAACTGTATTTATTTAACAGAATACATAAAATGTCAATCAATACTGTAAAAACATTTGGCATTCATGCAATAAAATATATCCTCTGAAATTGTTTTTAGAGACAGTATTTCACAAAAAAATTCCATAATTCATTTTTATTTCCCGTGGGACTTTAGCTGATTACAGAGATATAATACATTATTGTTATTAACAAAAGTTCTTAAGGCAAGTATTGTCATTGTTAATTAAGTGAAACAATTATTTGCTGTCTCTAGAGATTTTAAAAGTGGAGGAAAATCTCTCATAATTAGTGATGAACTGTAGTTTTACAATATATTTAGAGGAGTCCAATTATAGGGCTTTAAGTAGCTTTTACTGCTAGTATTAAATTCATCATGATTATTTTGGAGTTCCTCAGGTCTCAGGTTTTCTTACATGATGCAGTGTAAGCCACCGGCTAGCTACAGAAGTGGCTTCATCATGACATTTCCATATGTGTATAGTGCACTTCAGTCTTGCTCATTCCTTCTTTTGCCTTCTGAGCCCTTTTCCTCTCTCAGTGGACCCTTCCTCTTCACAAACAGTTACCCACTAACTTTCATACCTTTTTTGTTTGTTGGTTTGTCTGATCTTTTTTCCAAACAGAAATGCCCATGTAAACAGAACTAGTACTTAAGGTACTGAGGTTTACTTGTGATGTCATACTTGCTAGGAAGGTACTCTGCCTCTTGAGCCAAACTCTCAGGCAATTTTACTTTAATTACTTTGAGGAAAAAGCCTTTTGTTTTTGTGTGGGGCCAGGTCACCTTCCAAGGAGCTGGCATCCAGTTGTGAGCCTCCATTCCCTGATACTTTTGTGGAGGGTCCTGGTAACTGCTTTGGTTGGCCTTGAATCAGAATCCTCCTGATCTCTGCCTTCCCAGTAGCCAGAAGTGATATAATATGATCTGTACCCCACCCTTCTCTCTACCATCCTACTTTTGAAAAATGGAGAGTACTCCTATGAGACAAAAATGTGTGGTGTCTGTCTTTCTTTTTAGTCTTTTTTTGGGGGGGTCGTGGGGCCTTAACTCTGGGCCTGGGTGCTGTCCCTCAGCTTTTCACCTCAAGGCTAGCACTCTACCTCTTGAGCCACAGTGCCACTTCCAGCTTTTTTCTTTTTTGCTTATGTGGTGCTGAGGAATCGAACCCAGGGCCTCATGCATGCAAGGCAAGCGCTCTCCCACTGAGCCACCTTCCCAGCCCCTCTTTTTAGTCTGTTTTATTTCGCTTAACATAATGATCTCCAGTTCTATCCATTTGCCTGCAAATGATGGAGTTCACCACTGTGAACTATTTGATATTTTCTTTATCTATTTGCTGGCAACTAGGCTGATTCTATAATGCTACATGGGTGTGCATGCTGTATGCTGACTTAGATTCCTTTAGTGTATACTGAGAGGTAATATCCATATATCACATGGCAGGGGGGCTGGGAAGGTGGCTCAGTGGGAGAGCGCTTGCCTTGCATGCCTAAGGCCCTGGGTTCGATTCCTCAGCACCACATAAGCAGAAAGAAAAAAGCCGGAAGTGGCGCTGTGGCTCAAGTGGTAGAGCGCCAGCCTTGAGCTGAAGGGCTGAGGGACAGTGTCCAGGCCCAGAGTTCAGGCCCTGCGACTGGACCCAAAAACAAAAAAATCACATGGCAGTTCTAGTATTAACTAAAACTAGAGGATCCTTCACACTGATTCCTATAGTGGCTGCACTAATTTACATTCTCATAACAGTATGAACTATATAGTGCCCCCTAATCCATGGCAGCATTTTTTTTTAAATTAAGGATAACCATTTAGCTTGGTTGATATGACATCTCAATGTAGTTTTGATTTATATTTCCCTATTGGCTAAAGATGGTGATCATTTTTTCATTTACATGTGGGTCATTTGTATTTCTGCTTTTGAGAACAATTTGTTCAAGGATACCTACTTACTGATTGGATTGTTTCTTCTTTTGGCATTTAACTTTTTAAGTTCTTTTTGTGGTCTGGACATTAATACTCTGTCAGATGTATAGCTGACAAAAATTTCCATTTTGTAAACCATTCAGGATTGTGTTGTAGGAGCTTTTTAAGTTGATGCAGTCCTATTTGTCAGTTCTTACTATCATTTCCTAAGCTACTCGAGTCCTGTTCAGAAAGTTGTTACCCTATGTCAAATACATATTCATTTTGATAGTTAATTATTTTATATAAATCATTGGTGCATACATGGTCAATAACTCGATTTTCTTCTGTTCCTGCTACATGCCACCTTGTACAGCTACACTGAAATTATAGAAAAAGGGAAACTTTAATGAAGAGCTTTCTCAATCTAATAGTTGGGGTCAGAGAAGGTTATCACATGACTTTTAGGGATTCCCCTACCCCCATTTTAAGTAAAGGAGCCACATCTACATGTTTAGAATGATTGAGGATTCGTCAATTACATTATCTCGAGTTGGTCTTCACCGTTGTATCCTTTGGCATCTACCAGCAAGCTTGCTGGTCCTGATCTTTTATTTTGTAATTAAAAATAACCTCTATAGTCAACTAGTTGCTTCCTGAATCCATTCTTTTCCGCTTATGTTTGAGAAACGACCCTTAATTATGTGGCAATGAATTGCTCAATAGAAAGCTAATTTTTTAAGCCAAATCTAGGCCTTAATTCTAGCTTTGCTGCTTTGAGTATTTACTTTGTCTGAGATTGGCTTTCTTATTTCTGAAGTAGATAATAATATCAACCATTGAAGCATTAAATAGGCTCCCTATCCCTTACTCCCCCATACCTGGGCTGGAACTCAGGGCCTCTAATTCTATCTCAGCTTTCTTGCTCCGAATTTTTGCCTCCAGCCCAGCTTTTGGCAATGGACTCTCTTCAACTTTCCAGCTGGGGCTGGCTTTGAGCCCAGATGCTCCAGCGCTGTCTTGCTGAGTAGCTAGGATTAAAGGTGTAAGCCACCCATGCCTGGCTTTCAGTAGGTGTTTAACGTACCTAGGTCCTAGAACACAGCAGAGCCTACCTAACACTGTTCTTCTTCCTGAAAATTTATAGTTTTTATAATGACACAATAATAATATGCTTTGGCAAATAATAAGTGCCTAGATCTGTTTATCATTTGGCTGTGAAAAGCATACAATTAGCTGTCCCATTGGGAAGAACATTTGGAATAAAAATCTAAACTCAGGAACATTTGTTGTTTCCTCTTAACTGTAGTAAATTATCTTTAAATATTTTTCATTACATATGTTGTGTACATACGCTTTTGTAACATTACAAATGAAGTCAGCCTTCCCTGAGCCTTTCCCTCCATCTTTATTTCTTCCTAGCACTCATCCTGTGTTCTGTCCTTTCAGACAATTCTTTCACACATTAATCTTCCCAAAGAGAATGATTTTCCAGGGATCAGAGGCATGGTCTAAGAAACACAGAAACTTGTCATTGATACCTGCAGGGTCTTATTTTTATCTCGTTAAGTAAACATCATTCCTTATAGAAGACAGTTTGCTTGTAAAATAATAATAAAACAACTGAAGTCAACTATTTGGTTGGAGGGACATACATCAATGAGAAATAGGTAGAATCACCGAATAGGCCAATCACAGTGAAGATCACCTCTAGACTGAGTGACAGAGATCAGATGTAGATCTTACACTGAGAAGGGAAGTAAACGGAGTCATTTGTACAGCGTAGGACAGGTGACTGGCATCAGTGGGGAAGATCGCTGAAACATTTAGATGGCAACCGCCCAGTGTGCTGGAAAATGAACTGGGAGCAGGGCAAGGGTGACAGCCAGGCTGGTGGCTTGGAGGACAGAGAGTAAACATCTGAATTACTTGTTTTTTTAATTTTTTAAAAAATGTGCCAGTCCTGGGGCTTGAACTCGGTCGGGGTGCTGTCCCTCAGCTTTTCCCCTAAAGGCTGGCACTCTATAACTTTAGCCACAGCTTCACTTCTGTCTTGTTGGAGTGATTAATTATAAGACATAAGACTTTACTGCCCCAGCTGGGACAGTCCTCAGAGGAGATCTGCCTCCTGCCTAGCTAGGATTATAGGTGTGAGCTACTGGTGCTGGATTACTCTAATTCACTGGGGAATGCTGAGGGTTTAAGCTGAGAATTTATGTAAGTGAGAGCACTGGTGGATGAATCAGTTATTTCTCTTTTGAAACTGCTAGCTGCTGTGGGGAGAATATTACTGCGCACATTTCCCATGGGTGTTTCTCTAGTGTCTCACTAGCTTCTAGTATTTGCACATTAAAAATTTTAATAGCTACTGATGAACTGATATAAATGTCACTACCTTTAGCTTCATTTTCTCTAACCTATTTTTAACTTGTGAATCTGAGTGAACTGGCATATCTCTGTTTGATTTTGTTGTATTTTATATTGCTTTTATTTCTTGAAGGCACAGTGATCTAGTCATTATCCAAATGAAGTCTTTTTTCAAGTGATCAGAGCCATAGTTTCACCTGCAATTCCAGGATATTTGGGAACTTGGCCTTGCTGTATTTGAGGCACAAGTCCCACTTCTGGCTTTTTGGTGGTTTGTTTGGAGATGAGAGGCTTATGAACTTTCCTGCCTAGGCTAGCTTCCAACTATGATCCTCAGCTTCTTGAGCACCTAAGACTACAGATGTGAGCCACTAGTGCCTGGCAAGTAAATGGTTCTTTCTGAGGCCTTTTCCAGCTGTAAATGAAAAGAGCAAAACTGACATGGCATTGAAGACAGCTGTGTGAAACTCAGATGATGAGAGGAAAGGCCGAGTGACTGACAGACTCAACTTGGTAAAAACGTACTGTGCAGGCCTTGAAGTTTTCCCTCTCCGTGGCCATCCATACATGAATTAGCAAGTCTTGCAATAGTTCATTTCCTAAGCAGATGGGACTTTGCATTATCTCCCCATGCTTGCTGACTCCGTTTCTTAGACTTCACCCTTTGCTTTAATGACTCCATTTGGGAATCTGGCCAGCTACACAAATGTTTCTCTATTGGAGTTTTTCTGTTGTCATGATTAGGAACGTAGGGAAAAACGAGAGTGCCGTTTTTATCACATCTTATTAAAGATAGACTTGCCAACATGATTTGTGACTCTTGAAGTTGGCCTTCATTACTCCGTGAAGGTTTCTCCATGGAAAGGAAAGAATCCCTCTTTTCCCCGTGAACACTAAAGCTTCTGGAAGAACCTGAGCGGTTCAGCCCAAACTTCAGTAGTGGGGAGTTATGCCGCACCTCCTTCAAGATAGAGTGCCTACCTTATTTCAGATTTTTTTTTTCTGCCACAAGTTTGATTTTCACATTGATAAGAAATCATTGAGTAGTTAAGTAGGGAGAGACAAATTTCACAGATATTCATTTTGTACTTTTGAGTTAAAATCTAATGTTGCTTTATGTCCTTGTTCAGGTTATCACAGCTTTGGACTGCGGGACCTCCTATGGCACTATTAACTAAGTCAGTGTAGGCTTTTTATTGTTATTTCTTTTTGAGTACATCCTTACATCCTTTCATTTGTAAATATACCCAAATTCCCATAGAAATTGACTTTAGGACAACTTTAACAATTCTGCCTGTATCAGGTAATGGGCTCCCTGGTCTGCTCGAGAAAATATGCCTCTCCCAGCAGAGGTGAGGGTGGAAGGAATGATGGGATGGGGGAGGGGGGATGTTGAGCAGGTTCCCTGGGGAGTACCAGCTTGAATAAGACACCTGTCCCAGCCCTCCTGGAGCTTGGTTTAGAAGATCATACAAATTATCGCTGGTAAATTTGGGATTCAAGCACAAATCCATTAGGCTCAAACCTTTTTGTTACTGGTCTTTCAAGCTGTGTACAACTGGAAAGCTTTAGTGGGTAAAACCTCGGGAGTAGAGAAGTCTTAACAAAAAGACTTGCAGGAAGCTGTTCTTCACATTTGATCCCAAAGGTGCTAGCTGCTTTCAGTTGCATTTAATCCCACAAGTATGAAGCTAGGTCTTGATCATGTGCCCTGGTGGTTGGCTTCTGATGCCTCACAGAAAATTCGTCATTTTACCAATACATTCGGGAAGGCTTCCTATGTAGCTGAGTGGTTTACGCCACATTTTGCCAGATGTTGCCTTGTATTTTCCCCAAGTTGGTGGGTTTCAAACTATGACTGTGTGCTATGCCTCCATACAATTCCCGTTTATATGAATTGAATTGCGTTCCACAGAACTGCTTCATTAGTCCCTAAGTCTGATGAAGCCAATTAAAAAAAAAAATCTTCAAGGATTTCAAGTGAGTCAGTGTTAACAGGACTGGTGTCGTGTGCAGCTGAGCAGCGTGGATACTGAATGATGATACGATTAGCCAGTGACAGTGACAGTGCGGTCCTACCTTTCCTCCATGAGTACAAGCATCCTATCAGAAGTGTTCTTTCTATCAAGGGAAAAACAGAAAGGCATTGCAGTAAAAAAAAAAAAATGCATGTCCACAAAATTAAGAAAACTGAGAGAAGGGGGTTTGGGAAGGAGAGGTGAGAATTCTGAAGGGCGTGACATTGATCAAGACCTACTGTATCCATAAACTGCTATGCTGAATAGCAGCCCCTTTGTGCAAGTATTTAAAGATTTTTTTTTTTTTTTTTGGGTCCGGTCGTGGGGCCTGAACTCTGGGCCTGGGCGCTGTCCCTCAGCTCTTCAGCTCAAGGCTAGCGCTCTACCACTTGAGCCACAGTGCCACTTCCGGCTTTTTTCTTTTTGCTTATGTGGTGCTGAGGAATCGAACCCAGGGCCTCGAGCATGCAAGGCAAGCGCTCTACCACTGAGCCACCTTCCCAGCCCCTTAAATTTTTTTTTTTGGTCGGTCGTGGGGCTTGAACTCTGGGCCTGGGTGCGACATGTCCCTCAGCTCTTCAGCTCAAGGCGAGCGCTCTACCACTTGAGCTACAGCACCACTTCCTTAAAGATTTTTTTAAAGGAGGGTTCGTTCTGAAAATATAGAGTGAATGACAGAGAAAAAAGGACAAGAGAGAAGGGAAAGGGTAGACACCCATAAGAGTGCACCCCTTTGTTTTGTGGGAGTTTTTAGTTAAGACCATTAAGAAAAAGAGACTATGAGACATCATTGCAGTGTGAATACCTTGGTTCGTGGTGTCTATTGTAGGCATAGGTGCAGAGTAATGACAATAAAGGTCGTTTTTATTCATCGCTGCAGAAAGGGACTGGGGGAATCCTTTGGGCTCCCTTGAGTGACTTCACTCTGAACATCTTAGGACATTTCTACCTTTCCTGAACCTTTGAGTCTGGGACAGGACTTGAAGGAATTTGTGAGTGGGGACCACAGGAGGCCCTCCTCTTGGAGTGGGATATGTTGTGGGAACAATCGTAGCTACTTGGAGGCTGAGGCAGGAGAAGCACAAGTTCTAGGCCAGCCCAGACGAAGTTAAGAGGTGGTGTCTCAGAAATCCCTAAAACCAAAGCTGAGGTGTGACTCCAGTGGCTGAACACTTGCCTCACGTGCTGGCCCAGAGCCCTGGCCTCCATCTCCAGCACCCGGTGGGCGACTTCGGGGCGCCATGCTGGAAGAGGACAACGTACCCATGAAAACGGGGTGATGAGCCATCTAGGAAACCATCCTTCTCTTGTTCCCCATTCTTCCAAGAGAACCCGTCGCCCTTTCCTCCCTAGCCACATTCCGGGAGCGATCTGCCCCCCGGAGGAGGTGGCCTGAAATTGGTTGCTTTTTATCTGACAAATGGGAGGGGGGGTGAGCAGGTGGGTGTCAGGAAGAGGCCCCCCCAGCACCCTTCCCCGCGGGCGTCTGCACCGCGCGCCTCCACCATTGGGCCGCGTCAGCGGGGAGTGGCACCGCTGGGAGGTGGGGTGGGGGGCGGTGGGCAGCGTATAAAGGTGTGGGGGGGGGCGTCCATTCTATCGGGGCTCCCAGACCAGGCCACGGGCCTTGGCGGGGCGGTGTGGGTAAGGAGAAGAAACGATCGCAAGGGAACAAACAACACACCGAGTGTGAAGGGCTACCGGGAACCAACGACGGGGCTTCTCCGGGGCGGCCCAGCCCAGGTGAGCCCGGTGGGCGGCCGCCTCCCACCCCCCCAGTCCCCGCGCTTCCCGCCGCCACCATGAACGTACCCACGACGGCCGAGCGCCGTCGCTCCCCGCTGCTGCTGCTGCCGCCCAGGCTCCGAAGTTCCGACGGGGAGGACGGGGAGATCGACGTCCTGGGAGAAGAGGAGGAGGAGGACGACGGGGAGGAGGAGGAAGGAGCGGGGAGCCCCCGGTGCCCGGGGCCGAGGAGCCCGTCGGACGGCCCGTCGGAGCCCGGCGGCGGGTTGCGCTCGCCGAGCGGGCGCGCCGCGGGCCCCGGGGCCGCCGCGCCGGCCGCCAAGCCCCCGTACTCCTACATCGCGCTCATCACCATGGCCATCCTGCAGAGCCCGCAGCAGCGCCTGACGCTGCGCGGCATCTGCGCCTTCATCAGCGGCCGCTTCCCCTACTACCGCCGCAGGTTCCCCGCCTGGCAGAACAGCATCCGCCACAACCTCTCCCTCAACGACTGCTTCGTCAAGATCCCCCGCGAGCCCGGCCACCCGGGCAAGGGCCACTACTGGAGCCTGGACCCGGCCTCCCAGGACATGTTCGCCAACGGCAGCTTCCTCCGGCGCCGGAAACGCTTCAAGCGCCACCCTCCGGCCCCTCCCTTCCCGCCGCCCGCCGCCGCCGCCGCCCTGCCCGGCCTCCTCCCCCCGGGCCTGGTGCTGCGACCCCCGGCCTCCGCGCCGCCCGGCTCGGGCAGCTGCCTCGCCGCCCTTCCCGGCGGCCGCGCGTGGGGCGCGCTGCTGCCCGCGCCGCCCCTGCGCTGCCTGCTGCTGTCCGGGGCGCCCCGGAAAGCGGAGGGGGCGCCCGTGGGGACCCGCGGCGCCCTCCCGCCCCCGGCGGCGGCCGGGCCGCCGTCGTTGGGATGCCTGCCCTGGGAGAAGAGCCCCGGCCGGGCGTCCGGGCCGGCCGGTGGAGGCCCCTCCTTCAGCATCGAGAGCATCCTGCGAGGAGTCCACGGCGGCGGGGGGATCGGGGCCGCGCAGACTCTGTCCCCGGCTCCCTGGGGGAGCTACTGCCCCCTGCTTCCGCGCCCGGCCGGCCTGCTGCACCCCCAGGCTGCCGCCCCTTTCCTGCCCCTGTCCGCCGTCACCGCGGCGCACCCGATTCTGCAGCCGCAGCCGCGCGGTGACGGCCGCGCGCCCAGCAAAGGCTGCCCTCGGGGCGGACCCCGGGCGGCCTCCGCGGGCGCACCCGGGACCCCGCCGGCCTTCTGACGACGCCTCCACGCCCGCCCTCTCCTCCCCCCCAGGTGGCCGCCCCGCGTCCATGGCCCGCAGCCGAGTCGGGGACCGTGGCGCGCGGGCTCCCGAACTCGCAGCCCCCACGCGGGGGAGGGAGGGCGGCATCAGATCTCCACGTCCGACCTGGGCATCCCCCCCCAACACCCCTGTGCACTTGGCCAGGGAATTTCACGAGCGCGCGTGGGATATGCATTTGGGGTTTGTTTTGCTCCCGTGTTCAACAGCCAAAGCAGAAATCAACCCCAAAGTGGTGTTTTCTTGCAAAACCACGTTCCCTCCTCTTCTTCCCAGGTTGCTGACCCGGTGGCTCCTGAAGCCGGCGTTTTACATGGGAAACGGTGATTTCTGCCCTGTGCCATGGCTGCGCAGGCCAAATAAAACGTTAAATCCAGGGGCTCATTCGCTGCCTCCGAGGAACAGGTTTTAAAACTTACTCTCTCCTGGCCTGCGACCTTTTCCTTCATGTGATCCCTGTTCGTTACCAAACACTGGGAGCGACTTGTTTTCAGGATGACTTCTACACGGTTGTGAGTCAGGTGGAAAAATTGCCTTTCAACCCAAGACCTTATATTTACTAAACATCCAAATAAGAAAAGGCACTGGAGGAAATTAATAGAATATTTATTTTTCACTTTTAGTTAAGTGATCTCCGCAGGCACTCTGGGTCTGGTCTCCCAAGGCCGAGCCTTTTGCTCCCGTCTCCCCCCGGACTGGGGTTACAAGAGTGCGCTACCACACTTGGCTAATTTTCTGCGTTTCTAAAGCTACGGTTTTGTTTTTTGTTTTTGTTTTTTTTTTTAATAAGCTAGAAGGATAATGATGGGGAACGCAGGGCAAATAAAAGGGTATGTATCGAAAACACTAAAACCTCAAAGCTTTTTTTGTTTCTTTTTGCTGTAAAATAATTTCAGAAAGGACTGTCCTCCGCTGAATGTGGGAAGGGAGGCCAGGCAGGGAGGGAAACACACACCGCAGCCTGAACTACCGCTGGAAAAGAAAGCGATTAATAATAACAATAGTAGTAATAATAATAGACTGGGTCCCTTTCCTCTTCCCCGCTACCTGCTGCCGTCACTTGCTACCCGAGACCCTCGCCCCGGCTTGGCTCGGGCGCCTTTCTGGCCAGTCCAGAAGATTCCAGGCCCCACCCTTGGGACCGATCGAGAGGTGCGCTTCCAATCCTGCTCCCGCTTCTCTCTCGCTGGTTTGCGCCCCCGGCTCCGCGTCGGGCTTAGCAAACCCTGCGGCTAACGCAGCCCCAGAAAACACGGGTCCTGCTTACTTTTCACTTCTCCCCCATCCATCCGTCCGTCCGTCTGTCGTTCCGTCCGTCCATCCGTGCATCCGTCTGTCCATCCGTCCGTCCGTCGTTCCATCCATCCATCCATCCATCCATCGGGATCCAACGCCTCCTTGCCGTGTGCGCACGTGCCCAGGACGGCTCGCGAGCTCTTCTTCATTTTCCCCGAATGGAAAACGCATCGAACGAGCGCTTTCCCACCGCCCCCGCCCCAAGCACCGACCCAGCGGCGGGTACTGGGCAGGGACTGGACACTTCGGTCCGCAGTTAGGTGCAGACCGAGTGCCTTCGACGGCGCGGACCGTGGGACCCGCCTGCAGTGGCCGCCCAGCTCAGCCCGGACACCGTGTTCGGGTGCGGGGCACCTCCGCGCCCGCGCCCGCAGCGCCGCCGCCGCGCCAGGGATCGCGCCCCGCGCCGGGGATCGCGCCCCGCGCCCGGCTTCCGAGCGCCCGCGGCCCCCCCCCCCCCCCCCCGGTGCCAGGCGCCGTTCCGGGCGGCGCAGCGTTCGGGGCCGCGGTGCTGGATCCCGCGCCCGGGCGCTCGGCGGGGCTCGCGCTCCCCACCGCAGTGGGTGGGGGGAAAAACACCCACGTGTCCTCGAAGATTCTCGAAAGGGTGTGGGTCATTTTCCACCCGGGCAGGACGACCCCATGGGCCCTGGGCAAAGGGCAGGAACTTGGGGCGAGGAGGGGAAGGGGCGGGAGGAGAACCGGTCTCGGGGATTCGCCCGCCCACTCGTGAGGATGCCGCTGCTCGCGAACGTAATCAGCCTCCTTCACCCGCGCACGTGGGAGAGCCTGGCCGGCTTCCCGTCAGCGCGGGGCGCGGGGCATGGGGCGCCGGGCACAGGGCGCGGGGTGCGGGGCTGCGGGGCGCGGGGCACGGGGCGCGGGGCTGCGGGGCGCGGGGCTGCGGGGCGCGGGGCTGCGGGGCGCGAGGCTGCGGGGCGCAGGGCGCGGGGCTGCGGGGCGCGGGGCGCGGGGCTGCGGGGCGCGGGGCTGCGGGGCGCAGGGTGCGGGGCTGCGGGGCGCGGGGCTGCGGGGCGCAGGGTGCGGGGCTGCGGGGCGCGGGGCTGCGGGGCGCGGGGTGCGGGGCTGCGGGGCACGGGGCGCGGGGCTGCGGGGCGCAGGGTGCGGGGCTGCGGGGCGCGGGGCTGCGGGGCGCGGGGCGCGGGGCACGGGGCGCGGGGCTGCGGGGCGCGGGGCTGCGGGGCGCGAGGCTGCGGGGCGCAGGGCGCGGGGCTGCGGGGCGCGGGGCTGCGGGGCGCAGGGTGCGGGGCTGCGGGGCGCGGGGTGCGGGGCTGCGGGGCGCGGGGCTGCGGGCACGGGGCACGGGGCGCAGGGCGCGGGGCACGGGGCACAGGGCGCAGGGTGCGGGGCTGCGGGGCGCGGGGCTGCGGGGCGCGAGGCTGCGGGGCGCGGGGCGCAGGGCGCGGGGCTGCGGGGCGCGGGGCGCAGGGCGCGGGGCTGCGGGGCTGCGGGGCTGCGGGGCGCGGGGCTGCGGGGCGCGGGGCTGCGGGGCGCGGGGCTGCGGGGCGCGGGGTGCGGGGCTGCGGGGCGCGGGGTGCGGGGCGCGGGGCTGCGGGGCGCGCGCTGCACTGACGCTGCGGCGGAGAAAGGAGGAGAGCGCGCGGCAGCCGGGCTCCTCGGGAGGCTGAGATCTGAGGATCGCGGTTCAAAGAAGCGACTTCCAGGTCTGTCATTTTGTTCTTTCCCCTGATGGGCTCCACGAACACAACAAACCTCAGACCCGGGTCCGCGGTCCTGCGCACCCCTTTCCCGTCTCCCCGCGCTGCCGCTCGCCCCTCCGCCGCCCAGCCCCGCCCGCCTGCGCCCCCGCCCCTCGGCCCAGTCCTCTCCCCGCCCCCACCCTCCCGGCCTGCGCCCCCTACAGACTTTAGGAGCTGGGCCACCCCATTTAGCCAGGCACCGTCCTTTCCCAACAGTAGATGTTCCCCAGCAAAAGGCCCTCGGCCCCGACGTCCCATTGAATTCTCTGTAACACGAAACCGTCGAAAACTTTCTTTTTTAAAGCACGTACCTGCTTGGCCATGATAAACACTTTCGTTTTGCTCAAGGCTAAGCGCACTCCCGCTTGAACCACAGATTCACTTCCGGTTATTCGGGGGCTTCGTTGGAGATCAAAAATCTCAAGGACTTTCCTTGGTTTCGAACCATGATCCTCAAATCTCAGCCTTCAGAGTGGCTAGGTAGGATTACAGGCGTGAGCCACCATCGCCTGGCTGGAAACGCTATTAAGTGGACCTTTTGATTATGCTCAGCATTGCTTAACAGCTTTGGAGAACCGTCCTCAGTGTAGCAACTCCCTTGGGCTCCCCATCCCACCCCCATTCTCGGAACCACCACCATTTTGCCCCCAAAGATCTTGTTTTATTTCCTGACTGTGACCAAGGAGATAGAGTGGAGAGGGCGGGTGTCCTACTCCAGTTTCTCCAGAGTGGGAATAAGGGGCCCAGAATATGAATTGAAGGACATGGACAGGCTTGTGTGTCTAATGGCTCAACTTTCTCTGCATCGTGGCCCTTTGTCATGTTGGCTGGGTGGCATCAGTGCCCAGCATTCACCCTGGCTTCTCAGCTACAGCCTGTGCACCCTCTGCTTTTGCTGTCTGTGTCTGTGTTCATCTAGGCAGTGCCTTGAACCTGTTGGAGCTCATTACCAGAGGGGAATATGCATTGCCTGTTGTTTTTTCAGTGATGTTTTTAAAAAAGAAAGTACACAAACCCCCCAGCCCACCTGCATTAGGCACTAAATAGAACTCTGTGTGTGTGTGTGTGTGTGTGTGTGTGTGTGTGTGTGTGTGTGTATACACACATATATATTCAGATCCAGATTCCTGGATTCCCACAGACAACTCAATGTGCAGCTTGTATAAAATGGCATTGTGTTGTCATATAATGTAGACCTGTCTTCCCACATACTTTAAAATCACACCCAGGTTACTTTTAGGACTTACTGCAATTTAAACACGTTGTAAATATTTGCCATACTATATTTTCAGGGAATGATAACAAGAAAGATGTCTGTATGTGTTTAGTTCAGCGTATGCCAGTATTTTTCCATGCATGGTTAGTTAAATCTGCAGAGCTGGAAGCGGCAGATGGGGAGGGAATCCTACATTCGTTGCTAACCTTCTCTCATCAGGAAACAGGCTTCTTGCTTCTGTCCTCCTCGAAGCATCATGCTATGCTACTGTGTTCATCTTCTACAGCTTCTCTCTCTCCATGCTGCTCAGAAAATTTAGTGGCACCACATTTCTCTTGGCACACCTTTGCAATTCTATGTCTAGCCTTGCTCTTCTGGGCAAGCCATTCACCTGGCTGATCGCACAGCTCACAGCTCCTTAATGAACTACAGGGTCCTCGTACCATTGCCGGCTCCTCATTTCAGCCTAACACTCTTTCATGAGCCCTGATTTTGAATGTCCTCCTGCCTCCTGGATAGTTGTCCCTTGAACCTGTACTAACACCTCAAATACTGCATAGTTTGAGTGCAAGTCATCATATAGAAGCCAAATAGATATCAATATCCTTTCTTTCTTTCTTTCTTTCTTTCTCTTTCTTTCTCTCTTTCTTTCTTTCTTTCTTTCTTTCTTTCTTTCTTTCTTTCTTTCTTTCTTTCTTTCTTTCTTTCTTTCTTTCTTTCTTTCT